TTTAACAAAGTTTTGCAAACGTTGCAAACAATTCCGCATTTTTTGGCATTATTAACACTTGAATACAAATATCCTCTCGCTGCGTTCGCTAAGCCCGTGTCGGTGCATGGCTGTGAGCTGTGATGGCAACAAATGATACTTTTTAAACTTTAAATTTAAGTTAAAAGTAATAATGGTTTGGAGCCACATCACAGGTGACAGGTGGATTATTATCGTAGAGAAATGAGATCTTTATTATTATTATTATTATTATTATTATTATTATTCGTCGGCAATGCCTAGCGTTTTATTTAGTAAAGATCGGGACTTGAACTTCCCCGTGAGCTTGTCCTCCAGAGGACCCTGAGGCAGAGCCGTATACCTGTTACCTGTTCGGGTAACGGTATAAAATTCTTTTCTAANTATTATTATTATTATTATTATTATTCGTCGGCAATGCCTAGCGTTTTATTTAGTAAAGATCGGGACTTGAACTTCCCCGTGAGCTTGTCCTCCAGAGGACCCTGAGGCAGAGCCGTATACCTGTTACCTGTTCGGGTAACGGTATAAAATTCTTTTCTAAACTTTTCGCTCCAAATCACACGAATGCTTATACATTTTTTTAATCATCAAATGCTGTCATATTGGCATTGACAAAAATGTATTTAAATTTCACTGTGGGTGAACAAAATATATCTTGAAACCATATATCAAACGTCTGTTAAACGTCTAGCAAACGTCTAGCATACATATTGTTTGATTTATCCATCGGAAAAACTCGAACTATATGTATTTTACATATTATACGTAAATATACTTACAGGTATTTTAAGAGTTTGTTACATTTGAACACTGACCAAGCTCGGCGGCATTATCATCTGTACGTGTAGATAAATCGATCATAATTTCCCCTACTTTCCCAACAATTATGGAAATCAAATTCCTTCGCGCTCTAAAAACATTCTCTGCAGCTGCAGCTGCCTTGTATTGTTATTCATACATACTTACATAGGCATGACTTTTCTTTTCTTTTTTTTTTTTTTCATTTACTTGCCGCCTCGCTTGCCGCTCCTTGCGCGCGGCAATACCCTATCGTAGCCCACGTATGCACTTTCAACACCGCTCGGAACGTACAATATAAAATAAAGATATCTTTGCTTGCTACGTTGACACACGCATACATTATACAAATAATTCCACTCAAGCTTTCTTCAACATTCCCGGAATGACATGTGTCATTATCTTGTGTGAGTAGGTAAAAAATCCCAAGGAAAAATATAGTTATTAATTAGTTGAAATTCTCTTTGTTTTTGCTTTTTGATTTTTCAGTTCAAAATTAATAAAAACCCTCAAATAAATATCCCGCAACTTTGAAATTTTACATTTTCAATCATCGTGTTTACTCAATTATTAGCATCGATCCTTTTTTGGTATTTAAATAAACCAAAGAAGAATACAATATGTACGTATCAAAATCGTCGATGATACACACATGTTTGAATAGTTGCGTATTGCATGTAGATACAATTAATGATGTATTAAAGGTACGAATGGATGTAAATGGAAACACTCAAACATTGGTATTATACAAAAATCCTTATTTATACATGGGATCCTTTCAAGAAAACTTCGTTATTCAAAGCAATTATGCAACGCAAACTGTTATAAGTATTTTCATAACTTTTTCACAAAAAATTTGAATTGAGTGAAAAGTTTTCAACTTAAAAAAAAAAAAATGTAATTTCGGACGTCGCATTCCGCCCATTATTGATTACATTACATTTTTCGCAAAATGGTTTTGCGTATATTATTTTATAGTATCTCCCTCCCTGCGGAAAAAAGAGGAAGGAGAGAACTCTCTCTCTCTCCGACGACGCGACTACAAACACTGTATAGTAGGTATACATGTTTTACTGCAATGGAGTGGAGTGGCTACTGCTGCAATAGTGGCTGGGGGGCTGGGCCGATACCCCGTTAGGTGTCTGGCTCGCGGGGATCCGCCTCGCCTTTCTGCTGTGGCCCGCAGATTATTGCCCGATGAGGTGCTGGTGTTGTGCGCGTCAATAACTTATTTCAACTTTTTTATATATATGCCTTTACTTTTTCGTACCTCTTTTTGCCCATAACTGTAATAACAATTTTATTATTAACTAAATAAATCTCACACGAAACATTAGCAGTGTTATTATATCAAATGTCATCTACTTTTAACCTTATAATTCAGAAATATAGAAACAGATAANTTAATTTTATTTCATTCATTTTTTTACTTTTGATAAATATATATACAAACAATTGAGTGAGTGGGTGTGTTGTTGGTGTACTTCAGCGTTGGTGTGTCCTATAGTGAAAGATGCCTGACGTGATCGAGGACGAGATCAGGCACGTGCTCGCGGGCCAAAATACACGGGTCGCCGATGACCTTTGCGACTACAGTCTGGAGCAGCAGAACGAGAGCGCCGGTGAGTGTGACATAAACAAACGTATATGTATATAGGTATCTATACATTGCTCCAAAATAAATTGATACCCATATATTTTATTTTTACTTGCAAAGTCTTCTCCGACTATAAAGTTGCTCCGGAATTCATGTTTACTTCCTCTGTAATGATGTTTGTTGTTGAATTGTGTATACGATATGTCACTTATTTATTGACGTATAGGAGATACGTGCCAACGTGGGATCCATTTAAATGACATGAGAGTTGGGGTATAAAGCCGTTGTTATTACTGGAATCATTTGAACAATAAATCGCAAAAAAGCTATCATGGAAGAGAAAAAGAATGCGTTGGAAACTTGTAAATGATTTGGGTTTAGATCGGTAGGTACAGGTTATAATGTGGGTTAATTAGAGGCTTCTTCTATACATATACGTGCGCGAGAGGAAGCACGAGAGAGAAAAGAGGAGAGAAAAAAAGTTGCTAGAAAGTTTGCTTCTTAGTCGGGTGTACTCTGTGTGTTATATATGTCTTATACTCATTTCTCTGTTTTCTTTTTCTTTTGCCATTTACTTACGAAAATAGTTATAGGATTGCTTTGCTTCACTCTAAACCTATAATAATTAATAATTGCTGAGAGGAGCGCGAAATTAATACACACACAGTACGGAGAGCGCAGCTCGGCGTTTCCACTGTTTATTATTTCCTTTCAGCGGTATACTTAAGTACACTGTTTTTTTATTCAAGCAATAATTGGAGGAAAAAGCGCGCCCGCTCTCGGCGATGCTGTACTACATTGTTCTGAAATATTTCTTTGATGAGCCAACGAAAATATTTGAGAATTTTCTTATGTTTATTAACTTTCTAAATAGGTATAAATGCATCAAAATATTTTCTTGATAAACTTAATTTTGCTGCACAATGTATTACTAATTGGCTCGAAATTTAAAGATACTGTTATTACGTGCTGAGATGAAACGGGTTAATAAAATTTGATTTCTAGATGATGGCTCAGATTTTTTAATCTGTTAAGATTTTCAAGATAACTTGGACACACACTATCTAATGTGACATAGATTTTTCTCTGTATAGTTTTCCGGGGACTTTTTTCAGGGGTTTTCCCCCACACTATTCAAACCTGGACGGAGTTAATATTGGTACGAAACAATATTATAATACATAAAAATAAAAATTAGTATGAACGAGGCATGAAATGTAAAACAGGCAAAAATGTAAACGACAGGATTTATCAAAGACTTGCGTGCTCACAAATTTTATACAATTTTTAGCAATACGATGTCATAGGAAGCACAGATTATCTCTCCATGTCGGATTTGGGTGTGCGAAATTTTTCGAACTTTCAAGGATAGGCATTTAAAAAAAAACAATTTACATTTTTAGTGCAATTATTTGCTTAATTTAGTATGCGTAACTTTGCCTTGAAATTCATGTTTATTGAATAATTGTATATCAATATTCCAGAGGCCAATGGAATAAAGCCAGCAGTGAGTTCGTCGTACGTGCCAGTGTGTCAAAAAACGGTCACTTACATCGTGGCGGCTGTTTTAATTAATGAACACGACGAAGTGCTCATGATACAAGAAGCCAAGCCGTCTTGCATGGGAAAATGGTTTGTAGCTCTTCTCCCTTTATTATTTAAAAGCCTCCACAAATCGTGATTTTGATGGAGTTTGATCATAATATTTGTAAATTCGTGAAAAAAAAAAAAAAAAATTCTTGCGTCGGATTGTAATTTACATGATTTATCAAGGTACCTGCCAGCAGGACGAGTCGAGCAACACGAGAATCTCGTCGACGCGATGAAGCGCGAAGTGTTGGAAGAAACCGGCCTACTGATGGACCCGAAAACACTGTTGATGGTCGAGTGCGCGAGCGGTTCTTGGTTCAGATTCGTCATGACCGGGAGTATTATTGGGGGTAGCTTGAAGACCCCGGACCAGTCCAACGAGGAGTCATTGCAGGCCTGCTGGGTTCGGGAGGTGACGAGCTTGCAGCTCAGATCTAGTGATATTCTGACTCTCGTACAGAAGGGCAGGGATTACGTCAGTAAAATTGGCGGGCCGTGGCACGCGAACGTTTTGCCGGTCGAGAGGGCTCGTAACAAATTGTACCTGAGACTTATCGTTTGCATCAAAAAGAAAGCGACGTGAGTGTCTATAACTCATAGATGATCACAATCTATGTTTTTGCTTTGTTTTTTAATCATCCTTTCTTTTTGTACAGGAATAGATTACATGTACTTATGTCAGAGAAAACGTCGTTACATCTGCCAGTTTGCGAAATTAATCCAGGAAAAAATCTGCACTCTACTTTACACAGGTTTATGGTGGTAAGTATTTATATTTAAATTAGANATGCCAATAGTCGCAAGAGGGTGAAATACCCTCACAGTAATCTCTTAAATCTTTAAAAATCTAAATTCAGATTTTTAAATAAGTAGAAAATTTATTTGTATTTTTGTGGCAACAAACAATGTAGTGATTAAGCTCCAGGACTTTGTTGCTCTGGTAATAAAGTTGTGAGATTTGAAAAAAAATTTTTTTTTTAATACCTACGGTCTCGTTTTTGATTTTTAAGGACATTTTTGGAGAAGGGATTCCACAACATAAGCCTCACGGCTTGTTATCAGTAGAGTACAGTGGTATTGGAGAGGGCGATGGCCTCTGTCTGACACTGCTCATATCGTTCAGGCCACCATTAGAGGAGGTGTCTATCAATGGAAAATATATCTGGCATGAGTTGCCCCAAGCTCTTGCGGACACAATAACGTCTCGATTGCCTCGCAATATGACGATTGCACTTAACGTTATTCGTTGATCATATCGATACATATCTTCTTTGGAAGTACAATTTATTTTTCAAACTTCCTGAATTGATTTTTTTTTTTCAAATTGCCTTTAAACAATTGTACATAATGTTAGTAGTATTACTAACTCGAAAAATTTTAGTCGTATCGGTGATTTGTAATGTTTAACAAAATTTAAATTATCATGCATTTATAACAACTTTGGTATAGTAAGATATAAAATAAATTTTTAGATGGAATATTTATTGACTAGTAATAGTGTGAATAAGAGTTTAAAGAGTGTTGTCGCATGAACTGTAGATAAAAACAGTATGGAAAACTGTAACTTTGGCATATCAAATATAAACTAGAATTTAAATTTCTGTTAGAATCGTTATTTTATTTTTTTTTAAATTGACTGACAACACATAATCATGTAAATTTTTTTAGCAGATTTGAATGAACTTTTTAACCATTTTTTCTTAGTCAGCTAGAAATACCAGTAGTCATTGGCTAGCGCGACTCTGATTTGTCATGAAGAAGGTGATATGCTCTAGATATATAAAATTCTTGATACATTGAATAACTAATGTACGAAAAAAAAAATTTATTGTAAAATTAGTATAACAAACTACTTTATTCAAGACACAAGTTAACCACTGTGAAATTATATTTAACTTAGTCCTCAAACTTATAAAAAGTACAGTTACTACACTATTGTTTACGTATTAGTTATATTTGAAATATTTTATATTGTATTTTGTTAATAAAAGACGGAATAAAAATCGTAAATAACTTTACTTTATGTAATTATCAACCTATCACATCATTGATATTTTCAAGATATAAATCTTTTAGTATATTTTTGTACAAAACAGATTCAACAATAAGTAAGCGTCGTTTCTTATCACATGAATCTTACATAAAAATTTAAAAAACCTTCACAATTGTTCAGTCTAAAAAATTATTATTTTTTATAAACGTGATGCACTGAAAAATAGCATTCCTTTCGTGCTGTATAGACCGTGCCAATAATTTATTTAGTAATCTCAACCTACTGTTAGAATATTTTGTGCTATTATGACTTTGAGATCTATTAAACTGTCTTTCATTGTCAGTAGTATTTCTTTTTTTACTACCAACAGAGATACTAGAGCTATTTTTCACTTCTACATTTTTTTTGGCATGTGTGACTTTTTCAACTAATCCTGTTTCTGGTTCTACTTTTTGTGAATCTTTATATTCTTCATGCACCATGTATTTTATAATAGGTTGTTCCTCAGGTTGCTCATCTAAAGAAAAAATAAGATTTAAAACGACCGTTTTGATAACATGAGTATCAAGAATGTAATAATTACCATCAGATTCACTTCCATAATCAGCTACTAAACTTAAAACTTTAGAAGTACCAACTTCTGGTTTTAATTCTTTCTTATCAAATGTCACATTTCGTTGATCTTCATCGGAAATTTCGATGTCACTTATTTCTGAAACTTTACATATCACAGCTTCTTCTTTTTGATCTACCACAGTTTCTTCTTTTAGAGATTCATCGCTTGACCCTTGCGTCTCATCCAAGATAGCTGCAAAAAAATATATTTCAAATTTTTTTTTTTTAATAGCATTTAACTCGTCGACAATTTTTTCTTAACTTACCAGTGCCGGCAAAAGGCAATAAGCCTCTGTAAGTTTCTTTGTTAACAACTGATTTCTCGGGAATGTGATTTCTCCATTGCCTATTACGCCTTTTCTTGAAACTTTTTCGAGTCTGCTCTTTTTTGACGGTATCACGTCGATGTTTTTCATTGTGATTCCCCACAACTTCTCCACGCTTCCTTTTTTCTAATTGCTCCGCTTTCCCAAGCTTTATGTTGGTAGCCATAGGATACCGCCTTTTTGCATAAATTGCATTTATTGTTGAAAAAGTTTGTCATAACGAAACGATTCTGCTTATGATAAAGATGAAAAAAAAACATACTTTTTTCTCTCTGCTTTCCATTTTTCGATATCGCCGTCGCTCATCACGTGCTTCATTCTCTCATAAAGGCCTGTTGCGTGTTGCATAGCGATGTGTTTCTCTACAATCTTTGGATGAGCTGTAAACGTGCAACCATCGATTTTGCAGGTTTGATGCTCTTGAACGTGACGCTCCAAAATTTCTTGCGACGCAAAATCTCTGTCACACGTTTCACAATACAAACATGCTTCTTCTTCTTCATTATTGTCCTCTTCTTCGTCATTGCTGTCTTCCATCTCATCGTACGCAAAATCAGGTTCGTGTTCGTAACATTGCGCCTGGAAATTATAAATTTAAAACTGATCTTTTTAATAATATTACAATTACAAATATAATGACTGCAACGATCGATAGTAGAAAAGTAGCGACTTTCCTCGGTTGCGGAGGCCGGAGATTAGTTACACACAAATTATGTCTTTGAAGAAATTTAACAAATTTTTACACGTTGTGTTTTTTCAGAAAACTAGAAAATAAAATCGTGTTGTAACAGAATAGCTTATATTTTTCTTGGAATAATTTTGAAATTTTATTTTATAAGTATGCTAAATAAGTATGTAATAAATCAAGGCATCATAACAGTGGAGACAGTTTGTACACAAGAGTTTCGAGTTCGGCAATCACCCATTGAAAATTAGATCAACTAAATTTACCTTGATAGTAAACCTTAATCATTTATACATTAAAATAATTATTAAAAAGTACAGCAAATTTGTCTGTTCTGGAAAAAATCACCACTTTTTCAATTTGTACAAATATTTATTTATACATTACACGACTTAAATACAAAAAAAATGTCTTTAGCCTTAAAAAAAAAAAAAAAAACTTATAATTAACTATATAATTCGACTAAAGATCTTAAAGGTAACTGGTATAAACTATTAATGCAACAAATTCATGAGATGAAATTAAATACTGCAATGCTGCAAGCTTAGATAAAGTCCTTTAATATCAAATAGCTTCTATTGTGAAATGCTTTAAGTAACTATGTATTTTTTTTATTTATAGAAAGTTAGACGTATTAAATTTATTCGCGTCAATAATGCAATAGACTTGTTAAATTATAAACCTCGAAAAAAAATCCTAGAATTGCTTTTTTGTGAGTCCAAATTAAATAGCTATGAAAGAAAGACATGATTTAAAGTTAATTTATTTATTCAATTGGTTATTATCAGATAGACTTGAAGCTGATGTACTCAGCTAACATATAGAGCACAATAAAGATCAAGACTTAAGTACCCCCGGAAAGCGTTGTATCTCCTTACCATAATACTTATATGAACAGAAAGAATAAATGATCGTATTTAGTTATTAAATATTCAACTAGTCTGTTTTTATTCTTTTAGAGCATAGAAAAAAATTAATTTCAATTGAAAACACAAACTTAGTATTGTGTATGTATAAGAATCATTTGATTATTAAAAAGATTGATGATTAGTATGTATTTGCATGATCTAAAAAAAAATTAATTCTCATCGGAAAAACAAATGCTATAAAGGCAATTCATAATAGAAGCATATTTTTCCTTTTTTAAAATAAAAATTATTTAGTTAACTAGTTTTATACCCACTTTTGACATAAAAAATTATTTTCAAGAAAAGGTGTGATTCAGATATACTGTTAGAAGTCACAAAAAAAAAAAAAGAAATAAATGTCTCTGTATAACTGAGAACAAAACAGAAATGCATTAAACTATTAAGTTTAAGTAGCTTATGAACTTAAAAATAATAGCTTACAAAAAGAAATTTATTGATCAGCTTGAAGCATTACATATTTTATTATTCAAAGAGCGATTAGGACGTATAATAGGATTGTAATTTTTTGCATCTATAGACCAGTAGACACAAACATCACATTGATTGTTCGGAATCTTAAAAGAAAACAAGGAAATGTTAAGACTTGTTTCTAAAAAATGTGCATAGAATTTCTAAATAGTATGACTTTAGAATTAACAAAAAAATATATACCAAATGTAAAAGCCAAACTTTTACTTTTTTCTGCAAAATACACGATAGCATAAAAAAAAAGTACTTTGACAGATAGAAGTACAACTTTTAAACATTTTTTTTAATCTGATACTTTGATTAAGAGAAAAGAGAACAGTTATGTCACATACATTTACATTACTTCCTTTAAACTGATAAACTTCGTTTATAGCGTGCCGTAAATAGCGTTACTTAAACATTGTGATGTACTATTTGTATTAAAATATTGTTACAAGGTGATTGAGTGTTATAAAATCACACATTGACAAATCTAAGTTCCCTTGAACAAATAAAAAATTAGTTACTCGTTATAAAATATAGCGGTATATTTTATATAAACGTGAATAATTAACAGAAAAAGAATGTAGTCATTAAAAATTTTTTTCAAATTACTAGTGGCATTAAATTGAAATCCGAAATGTTATCTTATGGATTTCGTAAGTAACAAAAAGAATTAAAGCATCAATATAGATTCGACGTATAAATAATGACGGTATTTCAATATGAATCAATCACTTGAATAATTTACAGAGGAGTAGCCTATGAAGCTTTAAGACTGTGCCTGTTTGCTGGAAGGCTTGCTCTCCCCATTTAGCTCCGTTTGCTCTGTTTGCTTAGATGTGTTCTCACTTATCTGAACACTTTCATTTTCAACAATTTTCTTTTCAGCGGTTATCTGAGCAACCTGTAATGAAATGAAGTTTAAAAACCATTGGCTTCGTTTTAAGAGAAATCAATTGTTTTTAAATACTATTGATTTAAATTGAGTCTAATATTTTTTATACTCAAGAAGAAAATACGTTTGGTCTGAGGTTGCAACAGCTGGATTTAAATATTTTTCATCCACCTTAAACTTTCTATGGATGATTTTTATATTTTCCTTTATTTTCAGGAATAAAATATTAACTTTTATAAATTATTTCAGTATAATGTAACGTACGATATGCAATTAGTACGAATGGATTCATGGATAAACTGTCTTCTAAAATTAGAATTTGTACAAACTGATTCATCTTAAATTTTTAAGATTATTACAATCCATTCATAAACCCAAAAATCAGTAAGTACAGGCATTTTTAATATAGACAACCATCAGAAGCATAAATACCTGTTCAGGGTGTTTTGCAAGGTATTCGTTTTTGGCATCCCTTATCATGCGAGTGACTTTATTTCTTAAATCTTTGAATTCTTCCCACTCCTTGGCATTCTTGTTCTTTTTGGCTTTAGCATACAATTTATTTTTCTTTTGAATTTCACTCCGGATTTCGTCGGTCATCCACGGCTTTTTCATTTCAAGGTCCTATGATTCAAGGAAATAAGCAGGTCAACAAAAGCAGCATGCAAGAATAACAAAATCGATTGTCAATACCAAATTAAGGTGTGATGGTTATTTGATTATAGTGCTTCGTGTTAATGTTTATGAAATTATATTCAACTACAGTAAGTATTAATTAATACATATTCATCTATACTTAAGAGGAATATTAGTTCGATTAGTACAACAGCAGAGCCTCACCTCAAATTTGTTGTCCTTCTTAGAGGTGTTATTTTTGGGTTTATTGATGATCGGGAGTCTCGGCCTCATGTGTGGCAGAGCATGCGGAGGAAGCATACCCCTGGGACCAGGTCGCATTAAAGGATGTGGTGGAACCATGGGCCCTCTCATGGGCATGGGAGGCATCAGCGACATAGGATGCATGGGTGGTACTGGTGGTCGACCTCGCAATCCGGGCGCGAAAATTGATACTCCGCGGGGTGGCATGTGATTCGGTCTGGGCATCATGGGAATCGGAGGGATGTGCCGGCTTCGAGGTGATCCGAACAAAGCAATGGGTGGTGCCACCACTGGTGCCATCAAACGGGACATGCCAGGCAACGGTGGTGGTGGTGGCCCTCGTCCGTACCTAGACATCTGTCTCGTGGTTGGTTGTGGAGCTCTCGGACCCATAATAGGACCACGATTGAGTGGACTCATGCTTGGACACAGGTAATAAGTCTTGCTCTTTTTTGCTCAGTTGAAATCAGTTGAGTATTTGTACACACTACTTGTACTATATTTTCTACACACTTGGTCCACCAGCGCAAAAACGTAAGTAATTTATTTAAAATCTTAACCCGCTTCGAACTGTACAGCTGCACAAGTCGTCAACAGAAATACTAACCACTTCTATCAGTGTGCAGTTTAACCTCGAGTTCAATTACAAATACTAACTCGGTAGAGTTTGAGCAGGAGTTAAGGGAGTTAAGTAAGTACCGGGCTTCCGTAGGAGTTAAGTGTCATCAGTGCAGATCGACTACTACGAAATTACGAATTATACCAAGTACGTACGTAGTACGATGCACTCAAATACGCGAAACGGTCGACAATAGCGCCGCTCGACGTTCGCCATAGACATACAAGAAAAATAGACTGCTCGTTCTTATGTACAGCGCTGAAGCACAAGTAGAAAGAGACACAACATTGAACGTGGATATATGTCTCTCTCGATCGTCAAAGGTGGGAGAGAGACAGATATTCACGTTGGATGTTGTGTCTTCTTGTACTTTTCCTACAAGTCGACTTAAATTGGAGTGCTCCGAAATCCAAATTTTTCATAAATTACGCCATTAGGCCGTGGCCACATAAGTAGACGCGTCCGCACGCGTTTGACGTCCGTGAAAATCGTGCTAGTTTTTTGCTGTGTTTTTGGAGGTCGATTTTCGGGTACAAGATGCATTCTAATCTTGCCGCAAATAGCACTTATAATAAACCACTTTTTATTATATATCCATTCGTGTAAGTTACGGCTGGTTAATGAAAAAGACCATACGGCACTACTATAATTATCACATAACTCTTCACCACAAGCAAATATGACCGAAATATTTCGGATCTCCACGAATCATGAAGTTCCGCAATTCTGGTGAAAGTGGCGGCTGGTTAAAATTTTGACCACTTTTCGGCTTCATGACATGTTATCTCTCTCACACTAATAAGTTATCTACATCACATTACCTGAATACTTAGATTAAACGGCCAGTGCTTACGGAACGCATCCTGGCGCTCTCGCCTTCTCGGTTCTCGGACGTCGGGGGCGCAGTGTAAACTTGATCCGATTGGCTATCAAATTTGAGTATCAACCTACAAAATAACTTGGTTCTTCTTACTTAAGGCAAAATCGTATTTTTTGTTAAAATTTTTAAACAATTCAATGGACGTAATATGAATGTGTAAAATATTGTATAACACTTAACTCAAAATTCGCATCAAGAAACAACAATATTTTTACATAAGTACATGAAAATGACATTTTTAATCTACTAGAAGTCCAAGTTTTATCATTTTTTTTGTTCGTTATAAGATCTCAAATAAATAAAAAATATTATAATTAACCAATTCAGATCTGGGCAAGTACTCAAAAAAATTTTTTTTCGCACAGCAACTAAGTTTACGCGAAGCGAAGCTTCAATATAAAATTTGTCGAGAGCTTGAGATTTTTGAGGGCTGTAGTACCCTTTTCTTAACATAATAAATATTAAAACAAATAAGTAAAGGTGTAGTAATAAAAGACGCATGATTGAATTTTTCACAATTTTTCGATTTTTTTGTTTTATTTTATTTCGTTATAATGCACATGTTTCGTGAAAAAATTAAATTACGATTACGAAATTAGCAATAGCGCTTCGCGATTTCATTTTTTTTTTTTTTGCTTAACTTTCTTTTACACTTTTTTTCTTTTTTTTTCTATTTTTATCATTGGTATAAAATTCACTGGAAACGTCTCGTCGTGACCAAAAGTGTGAATTCACACCCTGTAATCACGTGATTTTTGTTTTCTACAAAAACGAATGTAAATGTTCACGTGTATTTTTTTCTCATTTTTCAGTCGTACACGAGAGTTTCTTCGAGGAAATTGTACACCCACTCACTAAATAATTACAGCTTATCATTCTTAAAAAAAAAAATTTGTTTATTTTTTTTAAGTTTCGCTGCTTTCGATTCGAGAATGGTTTAAGAACATCAAGATTTATCTTGTCTCTTTATTTCCCATTTGCTCAATCGAGGATGAAACAAGCGAAATAAGGCGGTGCGTGCTTTTTCTTGCATTTTACTCTTTTTTTTTTTTTTATTTATTTAATCAACTTTTTATTTGGGTGATGGTATTCTTTCTTGTTATAAACTTTAACCCTCCCTTTCCCATTTGTTTCGTTTAGCAAAACGTGACATGGTTTTTGTTGTATAAATTGCTGAAAATTCGACTTTCAAATTTAGATGTTTTTGCTTTACAGTTTAAAAAAAAAGGGGACAAGGCAGATCTTCAAGTGCCAAGTCACCTGATCTTCATCATACTCTCTCCCTCAGTTTACACATAATAGAGCTTTATCCCGCTTATTGAACTTTTTTCTAAGTTTGTTAGAAACTATGCTCGACATTGAAGTTTCACTTAACACATGCATCGTACGTTTTTTTTTTCCCTTTAATTTATTATTAATATTAATATTACTTGTTTTTCACAGTCAGCCACAACTTTCTTTTTTTCTTTTCTTTACCTTATGCACAATTCGATCTTATAGCTGAGTTTCTTGATCAATCTTTCGCTTCATGTACGCTTCAATTGGCGTCGTGCTTCCTTTATCTCTTACTTATCATTTTAATGATTAAAAAAATGTCCTGATGTCACCTACTCGACACACTTGCATATGGCAAGTGAAACTTAACGCTTATTTAAATAGAAAATTATAAACCAATCAATCATAATTCAAAATCAACGATTTTTAAGATCGATTAGATTTATTAAGGTTACTCTGCACAATTAATATGCACTGTAGGATAGTAAGATTCCGAAAACACGACTAAGAACTAAATCTAATGATGCTATCTATAATGGAGCAGTTTTTAAATTTTTATTATTTCTTAATAATCCACTTGATTAGCATTTTTAAAAATTATTTTTTATACGCTAAGATATTATGCACACAAATCACAAAAAAAATTCTTAATGTCTTCTTATATTCCAGTAAAAAATTTCTATTATAGAGGATAAGTGACAATCAACAAGAAACAAGGAAAAACGAGAATACTTGAATTGATCATCAAATAGGGATCACGGTTTTTTTCTTTACTGTTTTTGGTGTAGCTTTTTTTTACAAAAATGTATCATAGTGTGCGAGCAAGGATAAGATTGTTTTGAACCTGCATATTAAGTGTTCACGAGACAACAGTACGGATGGAGATGTTTGTTTGAAAAAAATGAGACCTGCAAAAATCGCACTGTCTAAAAAGCGATTATCTGTTTTTCTCATAGAAAAAATGTTACACTTTATTGTAATGTGTAAGTAATGTTACAATGATTATTTTTTAAAAAAAGATATGCAAACATTTTTTTTTACAAATAAGGTTTTACTTTTTTTTTACATTCTTATTTTTTTGACAATGTAACAAATGACACCATGTTGTGACAATTTGAGCTTTTCATACTGTAAAAATGCGCTATATCGATTTTTTAAACAAAAAAAGTATTACAAATTTTTTTTTATAATTTACAATACGTTTTTTAAACAAAACGCATTAATTTGACGATTAAATCTATTGTCTTTTGTTGCTTTCGATTTTTTTACAAGTAAAAAAAAAAGTAGAAAATTTGTTGATAAATTTTCGATTGATTAAAGTACAATGTTAAATCAGTTCAACAAGGTATGCAAATTACAATTCATCTTAAATTAAGCAACACCGAATTAAATTAAAAAAACAAACCCTCCAGGGGTTAAAAAAAAAAAAAAAACGCAACACCGTCACGACGACGATTGAGAAAAAAGTCTTTCTTTTACAACGGTTTTTGGTTTTTTTTTTCAGTTCACAATGATTTTTGCATCGTTTCAACAAGTCTTCAGAATCGTAAAATTTTCAATTCCGTTTGTAATGTTCATTGATTCGTAATTAACAATACATCGCATGCCTGATTTGGAGTATACAATCATCTTAAAGGATTTAAAAAACGTGAAATATTTAAGGTTTATGAATAAGTATGTAGATATGTTGCATGAAAAAATACTACATGTATGTGATAAAACGAGAATAAATAAACAATGATATTTGATATTTTCGGGGACTTTTAAACTCTCGTCGGCGTAAACGAGAAAAAATATAGTTCATCAATACGAGACGCAAAAAGAACTTCACGTTTTAACGCTCTAATGGCGTTTTATAAGCGTCAAAAATTATTTAATCGAAAGTGTGCAACAAAGTTTTTTTTAACGCATTTTGTTTGTTTTTTTCGTTAGTTAACTGGAATTATGCCACCACTAATTGTCTCGTTTTTCTTAACATCACGAACCAAGAATAGTAAAGTTTATAGTGGAACTTATAGCACTTAGTTTTAAACGATCATCTTTCCAAGTTTATGTGGTATGAAAAAAGGCAAACTGAAACTACGTAAACAACAAACGACAACTCAGTTTAAACAATAAAGAAACGTCGGAGAAGCGTGTACATGTGTCTTAGGATTTTTTAACTTGATCTAATTGTTTATACTTATCTTTTGACCACATCAACGCAACCTTTGGTCACTGAATAATCCTTTCTTAACACCATTTTTCCTTTTTTTTTTTTCTTTCACTTTACATATCGCAATTTCAGCTTTATTTTTGTGTTTGCAAGTTTCGTGGGGAGACTGTGGAGTAGTGTTGGTTGGTAAATCTTTATCTTTTTTCACTCGATTTTTTTTTTCAATTTTTTTTCTTTTTTTTCTTTTTTTATCCTTTTATAGCAATTTTTATAGACTGCTGCTGCTGTTTGCTGTTAGCTGTTACAATGATTTACTTGAATTTTATCTTAATTTTATTTTTTTTGTCGCCTTATAACAGATAGAATTGTGTTGTTACGTAGAAAGGGATGGTGATTTTAAAATGGCGACAACTGTAGTTGGTTAAGCAGTGCCTTCTGCAATGGCGTTGGATGAGTTTTGCTGCGGCTGACTCTCCTATTAAACATTAAATTAATTTTTGATGAGAAAAAATGTATAAAATGCTAGAAATATGTATTTGTCAGGTAAATTTGAAGTTGCTTTAAATTCATAAACTATTCAGAAACATAATGATTGTACATGTACAAATGTTTCTTGATTAACTCATTTATTTTTAATCAATAAGTTTCTCATATGACTTTAAACTTACAATATTAATCTAAAGACATAAGCCGAGTATAGAACAAGAGAAATCAAAACTTCAAAAATAATATTGCAAAAAAGGCCCACAAGGAATATATACATGCTTCGCTAGAGGATATGGTGATAAGTGATGAGAAAAAAAGGTTTTACCTGTGAAGCTGGGGCAGTGACAGAATCTTTATTACTAGGCGCGTCAACCTTCTGCTCTGACTGAAAAGAGTATAAGAAATACGTGCAGAGTGTGCGTGCAAGTGTGTGCATAGGTGTAAGCTTAAAGCAAAAATTATTGTGTTGCCCCATAAGTTTAAGGACCATGCGCATACAAATTAAATTATAAAAAATAACAAAAACAAAAATACTTTGGAAAGATACGACGAAAATGCTTGAATTTTTAGGTAACATTGCAGTACAAAAATTTATATACTGACTTTGTAAAAATTCAATTATCTAATTACATAAGTGTACATGACAAATTAGAATTGAAAAAAAATAATAATAAATAAATTAAAAAAAATAAAGTGCATGGGATCAAAGAAAAATAAAAAAGCCATACGCTGAAAATGGAAAATTGGAAGACTAGCGATAGAAAAATAATGATAATTCAATGAGTGAGCTATTCACGTACCTGGCCGTCTTGGCTGCGGGGACGACGGTTAGGGCCGCCACCTCCGCGTCCACCGCGGAAATTGCGCCGGAAGAAGCGCCGCGAGGGTCCGCCTCTACCTCTACCTGCGCCTCTTGACTGCCCAACATCGCCGTCGCCCTGTTCGCCACCGACGCCACCCTCGGCACCGTTCTCCGACTGCTGCTGGTTGCCTGGGCCAGAACGTCTGCCACCGCCACCTCTGTAGTAGCCACCGTCGTAGTTACGCCGGGGCCTGTAGCGACGCATCTGCTGCTGATTGCCACCACCCTCGCCACCGCTCTGCTCGTCTCCGGTCTTACCGCCGTCACCTGTTCCAATCACATGTGCAGTTTGACATCGTTATTATTATTTCAAGTTCTTTGTCACCAAGTTCGGGGGGAGGAAAAAAAACAAAAAAAAAACAAACAACATCGTAACGGAGAGTTTAAGTCAACAAAAAATTACCGGACTCGTAGTCCTCTTGACCGTCGCGGTTTCTGCGAAGCGGCCTAGCGCCACCGGTGTTGCCGCCACCGCCGCCACCGCTACCACCTCGCCTGTTATAGTACTGGCGATAGCTTCGGCGCTTCTCAGCCGCGTACGGCGACCCTTTGACGGAAATACCTTCCGGGCCGGTGACGTTGGCCGCCTCGTTGCCCTTCTCGCCGATCACCACGTCGAACTCGACGACCTCTCCATCGCCGACGCTTCTTACGGCCTTTTTCGGGTTGTTCTTAATAATAGCCGACTGAAAATATTTTACACCGTTATCGTCTGTTTCTATTTCAACGACTATTTAATTGCTCGACAAGTATTGGTTCTCCCCTTTTATTTTCAAGGGCACTCACCTGATGGACAAACACGTCTTCTTTGGTGTCATTTCTGGAAAATTTAAAGGACAACATTATCATTATATATATATTTTTTTATCATTATTTGATAATTTGGATGATTTATGAATGAATTTAAATAAAACAAGGGTGAGCCGTTGTATTTTAGTGCACTTATGATTGTACTTTTTTCATGAGATATAATATTTGCTGAGAAAACGCAAAAAACGTGTGATGTCGGAGCAGGTGAAAAAATTTGGTAGCAATTAAGATTTTGATGTAAGCCCGTGATAAATGAAAGTTGCGTGATTGATAAATTTTCATTAATGAAACGTATAAACAGTAGCAGAGATCACAAAACATAGGCTTTTTAATATAGGCCAGTTAAAGTGAAGGAAATATACTTATTGCAAAGTTTTTGGACGATAATTGTGAAAAAATGTACTTCTTCGAATTTTTGTTTGGGGTTTTGTTGAGAGAAAAAAAAAATGACAAATACAAAAGCGTGTATCTATATGTAAAATCGCCATATATCAGCACGATAAGAAGCGTGTACCGGCGCCACATTTTGTTTACCAAACACATTTAAATTGATCAGATGTTTCACGTTCTTTGTAACGTAAAACGATACCGCGCTATTACGTTTCACAAACGGGAGCTCATGAGTGAAACGAAGCCCCTCTATGTTAGAGTATCTTTTATTACCGAGACATTGCTGCTCTACTTTTGACTACAATGCTTACAAGTCGACCTTCTCAAATATTCATTTTACGTGTCAGTAAGTCGTACACTTTAACTTGACACTACAAGAGCAAGTTTTGTGAGTTCAACGATTCATTAACTGCAACAGTTATTTGTCGTTTTACCAGTTCGCTGCACATACAAAAATTAATTCAGAATTTCAATGGTAGTTTCATGTATATGTCTCAATGCAAGCAGTAAAAATGCTAACAGATGGGTTATTATTTTATTGCACTTGGCTTGTAACATCTTCTCTGCAAGAAGCAAAATGGTCGATCCTCTTAGAACTGGGTTAAGCGAATTAGGTGCTCTAACACCACAAAAGTATTCATATATGTACGTTATGATTTCAATTATTTGCATTTACTCAAAACGCGTACACGAGAAATTCCACGGAAAAAATTGAAAAATCAGTGGTGAACGCGAAACATTTGAACCAACAGTAATACTTTTTTTTTGAGTTTCGATTAACATAAATTTTCTTCAAGTCTATTGTTCCGACTATTGGTGCTCTTGGCAATTTTATCACGAACCTTATGGTTCTTTAATTGAAAATTCGCAAGGTGTGAAAAATGTCGCTTTTTTCGAAACTTGTGAATTTTCAACTCTTAAAACAAAAAGTTGGGTTGTTTCGAAGAAAATATAGTTTTGTCTGATTGGTGTTCCACGGTCCTAGGGGCTTTCATTCTATTTTTGGAAAACGATAAGTTTTCAATGGGCCTAGAAGAGGTTTTCGACCTTTAGTTTCTTCATAAGGAGTATATTTCAACAAGAGACGTTTTACAATACAACCAAAATAAGTATTGGACGGAGTCCTGTTGAATACGTGGTGGGACAAAAGTATGAGATTTCATCATCGTATGCCTATACAAGAAATTGTTAGGTACGAGCGTCAGCCCTAATTTCAAAGCAGCAGCATTCACGGGTCGTTATGAGCATGCATGACTTTTTTTTTTGTTTGGCTCGCATCCAATAGAATCTACCAGTGGTATATTATGTACCATCAACTAATCATAGTACACATACGTGTGTGTACATGGATCTACTTATTGAGACCTAGAAATATGTGCCGGCACTTATTACCACACGCTTTTTAAATTTTTCACACGTTTTTAACAAGATGTACTTATGAAGCCACGCGCAGCCCGCGCGTGTGCATATTATATACGTGCACTGACATGATAAGTACGCCTGTAAACCTACTCTAGCAAGTGTATAATCTTCACGTGGTGTAGGCATTAGTATAAATGCAAAGGAGCGTTTGATCATCTACATCATAAAAAGTTCAACTGTAACTATTGTGGACAATGATTTAATTTTTCTGAATTTTTTTTTTGTTTGTTTCTCCTATACTTCAAGCTTCGCGAGTCGCAATGTGTCTGCTTGCTAGACCCAAGCACGTGGCGCTGGTACTGTTTCCGAGCCGATATAATTTAATCGTGAGCATAGTGCCCTTTAAAAAATAGCCCAACATGTTGTTCGTAAAATCATAATTACTAAAATCATCTGTGCAACTGTTGTCGAGCGATTGAAGTTGTAATAAAACCAATTACGCGGTTGAACCGCGAAAAGCAGGCCAGCCGCCGATTATACCGCAAATCGATATCGCCGGTCATTTATTATGCAACAACGCGTCGTGAAAAAAAGGAACGGCATCACGCAAGGCGGGATGCAAAAACCGGAAAGAGAGTGGTCATGCATGATGGCGCTCCTCTGCTCCTGGTGTGTTTTTCGTTGTTCGCGATACTTACCTTGTAGAAGTCAGGAGAAAAAAAAAGAAACAGGAAAAATTAGAAAGTGCATTTGAGAAAATTCGATGATTCGGCAACACAATTACTAATCATGTTTACACATTGTACATTTATTTAAGTTACTTCGTTATACTATCTGTCATAATTTCAATTTAGTCATTTCAATTATTAATTATGTTACTACACTATTATTAAGGTAGCTCCCTTGCGAAAACCTACAGAATGAAATGTTTCATTCAATAGATTTTGATCGACTGAATCCAACGGTGTCCTTGTTTATACCCCAAATGGAGCAAAATCTCGAGATATTTCAGCTCAATGCTGGGGCATTTTTCAAAGATATTTGCCAAGAAAGACGTGAAAATCAGCTTGGTGGTTATAAATGACAGACGGTAGCAGAATACCAATACTGATGTACGTATATATACGTATATACACGCAAGTGAAACTTTCCTACTTGACTAGAGCAGTATATAGACAAGGGAGCTACCTTAATTTGTTACGAGCTGCGCTCGGCAACACATTTTATGGTACGACTGGACCATGTATGTACGTAAAAAATTAACAGATAGATTATCTCAAATTTATTACAGCTGAACACGCTTCGAAATGCTGGTTTCGAGTTTTTTTTTATCTCGAGAACATGATTTTACGAAAAATCTTTTTATGTTTGGCGATAGTATGCTTAATAAGTCAATAATGCTTGGAACGTCAAAAATAAATAAGCTTACCAAGTACAAAAAAAAAAGAGTGATATGAAATGAATGAAGAAACAAGGTTTGCTCAGATACGAAAAGCATTTTTGGAATGAGCCAATGTCGGATGTAAATATTTTTAAAAAGTCTAACCTGTTGATAAAACCATAGCCACTCTTGACGTTGAACCACTTCACGGTCCCAGTAACTTTATTAGCTGAAAAGAAAAAAAAAAGTTGACAATTTTTCGCTTATTCTATCATGAATTTTATTTACTGAGAATAATGAAAATAATTTGTTTAATCGAACATAAATGCGCAGGACAAAAAAGTTAAAATATGGTGCAATTGATAATACATACTTACGCGTTTCAATTTTTAATCAATTTCAAGTTTTTATCAAGAGTATAAGAGGCATAAGTTTCGAATTTTGTTGTTATTCGTTGGCGAAAACATGAAATTTTGAACGATATGGATAAAGCCTTTTGTCACGCATCTACGAAAAAAACTAGCTGATTATCATTTTTTATCATATTTTCGAGAACTATTGTATTTTCCTTACCAGATAAGCGCATACACGCGATCGAAACATTCTATTTTATAATTAATTAGTGCCGCTTTTTTAAAGCGTGACAATACAAACCGATCCATTCATTCATCCCTAAACTATTTCATCGATTGAAAAAAACCACGAATTTTTTATTATATACGACAGCTGCAGTATTAAAAAAAAAAAAAAAAAACTACCTTATATTATATTACATTGCATTTTGTAGTAACGCGAGAAAAATTCATGTTTGATAATGTAACGTAAAATTGTATCCTATCACACTTGAATTCATGACGGCTTTCTGTATCTTGGAATTGAAAGTTGTAGATCTTTTTTAAATTTATTTATTCATTTATTTAAGGTGGATATAATGTTCTATTAGACCCACATGTTCTCAGTAAATTTTAAATGGTTATTTCAACTTGCAGATTTGGCTGACCTGTTTGGAATATTGTATATATTTTTAAAAAACTGAGAAATTTAATCTAGTTACAAGCAAAAAGCCTTGAAAGAAACAAATGTAATAGTCAAAGTTTAATGACACTACTGTGTCTATATATCATCTTCGTTCTTTATACTCGGAATAGCCAGAAAAGATCCATTGGTATTATTTTATATCAAGTAGACGCGTGCAGCCGAAAAACATATATATTATTTTACACAGCAATTAGTTCGTATATCTTACGTTACGTAATCGAAGAAGACCGAAAAGGAGAAGAAGACAGCGAACTCTAGGCCAGAAGAAAGAGAGGCGCGTGAGACGAGAATAGAAAACGCGGAAAAAGCAAGCAAACGTACTATACCTAAACATAAGTTTGGAGGAAAGAAAAGAGAATGTACTGCTCTACACGTTGAATTATAATTTATTAAATTTTTTATTTATAGGGAAGTATATTCCAAAAAAAAAAAAAATAAATTTAGCTGAAACAAAAATAATATCCTTAATTGGGTGCCTAATGGTAAATACACCCAAAATGAATCTGACACCTTAACATGTTCTTTTCAGCTAAACGATTCGTTCATATAGCCCATATTATCTGACCAGATAAAAGGGTGAAATAAAATTTATACAATTCTGCACCAACATAACTTACATAATAATTTGATATTTTTGCATTTTTTATTGTTTTATTGTTGATGTCAGTGTAAAACTACAAGTGACAGGTTAAGTTGTTTACACCAAAAAGAATGTTCTCTGATTACCTATCGATCAAGTGTTTTCAAGGTTTTTAATAGATTACTTGATCTGAACCTTCTAACTGCAAGCTATAACACACTTGTCAAACCCTTGATTGACGATGTAAACCCAAAGGAGCATAAATATTTTCAGCTACACATGTCATGATTTCGGAGCAATGCGTGTTGAACCTATACCACGCTGCTTTGGAGCAAGCACATATACAACGTACAAGAAGAGCCAGAGAACATACGCGCTCAAATATTCTCGGGGAGGAAAAGAATTAAAGCAGACGTACAAAGATGGTATAAAAAATAAAATAGGTTCTTATTCTTTCTCTCTCTCTCTCTCTCTTTGAGATGGACTAGCCTGAAGAGGAGGAACGCGCGCGCGATTTCCTGTCCCAGCCTCGCGCTGCAGCTTGTCTGCACCTTCCCCCCTTTCCATTATACTTCTATGGAGCAGGCGAGCGTTCACGAACGATAACACAAGCGCGCGCGTGGTTTTCATCCCAAAAAAGGTTCCAATATGGGAAAATAAACAAAATCACGGACAGACATGCGTTTCGGGGATCAGATTGAGATGATAATTGCGCAATAAAACGAAATGTGAAGAAATAGAAGAGGAAACGATGAGCGAAAAGCGTGCCGGCCACATGGCTTCCTCGAGCAGTACCTATACATGCTGCGCCTGTCGTTCTCTCTTTATACTTCGCTCATCGCCATTACGGCGTGGATCGCGCGACACGGTTTTCTTTCTCGTCCACTTAATGAAAACTATTATTCATCAAAGCTGTTGAGAAAAAACAAAAAAAAGGAGCCGTACGAGAATTGATAGACTCACCGATGACGGCCTTCTGTTCCTGAGTAGTCTTGGCCTGCTGTTGTTGCTGGGGCTGGCTCTGCTGGGATTGCTGCTGTTGGGGCTGAGACGGGCTCGCAGCAGGTTGGGCCTGCTGCTGGGTTTGCGGCGGCGACTGCTGCTGTTGCTGCTGCTCGGGCTGCTTTTCCGCATCAGCCATGGCTTGATGTTGTTATTTGTTGTATCACACTATCTCTCGTACTGATACTGCCGAGTCGAGAGAAAACAACAAAATAAATAAACAAATCTCGTTGACCTGCTTGTTTAGGATGGCAGTCGTTGACGTGTCGACGACGAATTTATTATCAACACATGGAACGCGCGCGCTTGGGAGGCTATGTTTTTTTATTAGATTGATTAGATTTGATGCTCGATCGTGTTGTTGTTATTATTGTTATTACCGTCGGCCGGAGAGATGGGTGGATGGTGATGTTGGATGGTGTTATGAAGGTGCTGATGACACGCCGCTTCCGAACCTGGATCTTTGCGCTTGCACTGATGGTACCTTTCTACGCGGTTGCCGGACCGCAGCGCGACCTCCGCTTCTTCCCTCCCCCTCGACGACACATATCACTTGCGATATATAATATAGTCCTAAAGCTACGTTCTGCAAACATTATTAGTTGTAGGCCGTTTCTACATAGGTATGCGTTTGGGCGACGCGATTTTTTGCGTTTGTGGATGAAATAAATAAAGGGACTTATTTTTTTATTCGACTCTCTTTTGCGACGATTTATCTAGTCACAGCACAAGATTATTGTCATCCATATGAATTTTTGTTTTCGCTACCACTTTTATAAATAACTAAAATAACGCAATAAAGGACACATTCCGTTCGTTTCGTTTACGTTCCACTCGGTTCAAAAGCTCATTTCATTTGACATCATCACTAGCACTACATCAGATAAACACAATTTAATCTCAAAACATAAGTATTAATCTGCAGATCTTTTTGCTTTTAGTGGCCTTACCGGCTTACCTCTTTTTTACGCGCAGATCACTAGAGACGAGAAAAATATTCGATTAACGAAGAGAATAGACGAAACAGAACAAAAATGAAACGGTTGAAACGGATGAACCTAACAAGGAACACGCCCTAAGCTTTTTTATAAATTCACGTTTTAAAAAATTTTAATTCGATAACCATAACTTATGCAATGTCTTTTAGTCTTAGAAGTGAATACAAAATGGTATAAATAAATATAGAAAAATTTTATAATACACGGCCCATTCAGTATCCATCCAAATGAAATATTACCATAGTTGTGGGCATTCAAAATCATCTGAAAAAAATCCCAGGCCAAATTTGGTTGGATCTCCATAAATGCTTTTCCAGTCGTCTAAAAATGGTATAAATAAATATAGTTATGTTTTATAATANAAGTGAATACAAAATGGTATAAATAAATATAGAAAAACAAATTTTTAGACAAATTTTTTTTATTAAATTACCAATTCTGTATCACAAAATGTCAATGACATTTCTTCTTCTTCAATATCTATGTGTTTCGCATCCAAACTTGCTTTAGGACTTGGGACATCGGTAACGTCACAAAAATTGAAATCTTTAACTGATTCCTTGTCTTTATGGCAATTATTAGAATTTTCTTCTGAACTTTCACAAGTTGACTCGTGAGTATTTTCCGAAAGCTTTGTTCGTTTACTATCCACTAAAATGTCAACTTTATCATCACCTAAGGGCCTTCGAAGACATTTGTCCGACATCAAATGTCCGTTAGTTTTTACCAGTTCTTCAATATCTTCTGAAAGTTGTGTTTGTTCACTTTCAACCAAAGTATCAACTTTGTCTTCTAAAGCCTTTTGGTATGACTTTTCGAGAATCGGCTGATCGAGAGTTTCGGTGACTAAATCTTCTACTCCTGTAGAAGAAGAGTATTCTGCCTGCTGGCTTGGCTTGAAAGACACTAAATCTTCTAATCGTAAAGTTTGCACTAAAGAAGATTCTTCCATCAAAGCAGATTCTGTACGCTCGAGGGGCAGCATTAGCGAAGGTGCGGTCGGATAAATAATGTGGCGAAGTTCTGCTAGACCTAGGCGCGCTTCTGCGATGATTTCCGAGTTTCTTTCATGCGATGCGGCTAGCTCGAATATTAAGATTGCATGAGAAGTTGTACTGGAGCCTTCTGCAAATGTTTCCAAGACTCGGAATGTTTTTAACAGCTGTAATCTGTAGTTTGAACTATTTTTATTCAATGGAATGCCAGTTTTTTTTATATACTGATCATACAAAAGTAAAACTACGGCACGTCTTATTCTCTGTAAAAAAAAATGTGATTCTAGTTTTCATTTCCAGTGTATGTTTCATGTAAATAATAGATATTCCAGTCAATAAATACTTACATCATAAAAAGAGTGCTTCAAATAACAACTTGCGTTTGAAACAATGCATTCTACCGTGGAAAGTACTTGTAAACACAAAACTGAGTCTGTCTGGTTACGATCACTAGAGTCAATAGCTTCATCACTTTTAGCCTTTTGATTCTCTGGTGTCCTGGCATTGTGTTTTGAAGTTTTGTTTGCCTAGTCAGAAGTTTGTTGGTGATTAACAAATTAGTAACAATTACATGAAAAATCTGAAAACATACTTACTTTTAATATGTGAACTTTATCACTTGACTGCGAAATATCTTTGAGCATGTGTATAAGTACTTCATCTGTTACTAATTGAATGCCAGACAAAGATCTAGCCTGCCTCATCCATGTGGATAATAATTTGTAGGTCTGTACGCGGATGTCTCGGAAAAATTCATTATTGAAAGTTTGTGTCCATTCCAAAGTTTGTAAAATAAGTTTTTGAATGTTAAATGCAAATGGAACCAGTTCCTGTTGAAAACTACGTACCGTTCTTAATATTTAAATGATAATGGTATAAATTTATTTATATTAATATAATAAAGTACCTGGTAATCAAAGTTTCCAACAAATTTAATAGATTAATGTATAGTTTTGGTAGAATTAAAAGTAATAAGCCTTTTCTGCTCTCATTGCTTTTATGTAAATTAGCTGGAGTAATTGATAATCCACGACAAGCTACGTGCAATATTACATTTGGAAGCACAAATTTTTTTCTTGAATTGCCAACTCTGCAATTAAAGTAATTTAGACATAATTAGTTGATGATTCTTATCATTGTTATTAAAAAATAAAGAGTCAATGTTACAAATACAAATGATTGCATTGTAATTGATGGTACTGACCTTAACAAAGTAGATAAAAATGTACAAACATTAGCAAATCTGTTTATATTGGCAGCATAATAATCAAATATGTCTTCTTGTGATATTTCTGGTAAATGTAAAATATTATTATCCTTAGCATTGTGAAGTTCGGATGGTAATTCTGTAGTAACAGTCACAAAATTTTGAAACACTTTATCCATTATATCGTGCAAGTAGTGACACAAATTAACTTGATAATAAATGTGACAGCTCGCGCTGCTATTGTCTGGTGCAATCACATAACTTTCCTTATAAGAATTAATAAACTGACGCTCGTTTGCTCTGATCAACAATGCATAACATTTTGCAGAAGTTTGTACTAATTGTCTGTCTTCAGAGTCTAAGCTTGATGAGATCATTTTACCAAAAGATGCCTAGATGTAGAAAAAAACACACATTTGTTTTAGAATCTAGTATTGTGCCAATTGGTAAGAAAATTTTCTTTATAAATACTTGTAAACGTCCGCATGATTCTGGATATTGATACAGAAGAACAGTAAGCAAATTAAGCAAACTCAGATGGGTTTTTTTATCCCACAGTTCAACAATGATGGCAACCAATTGTTTAACATGGTACAAAGATATCTTTTTGTCAAGGTCTGGCTCTTGTTTACAACTTGTTAACAAGACACCAATGCTCTTGCACACTGCTTTCAATTCTTCTGGCTTGTCATGAGCATTATTTAATTTTTGTATTAGCTTGGAAATCCAATGTGGAAAATACTTTGTCAAATTATCTTTGGATATTTTAGGTACAAATTTGTTAAACAAGTACAAGCCTTGAAAAAAAGTAGCTGCATGTTCAAGCTTATTGTTAATTGTAGTCGTTATATTTTTTTCTACACGAATTTCCTGTAAATTTTAAGTAAATGTGAAAAAAAAAAAATCACTAACTCCATAACAAATAATGTAGGTAATAAAAAATTGAAGTTACCTTTTCTGCGTCATTGCTAAGTGATTTTTCACTCAAAAGTACACTTTGCAACAAATCTATATATTTATTGCCATCACGATTAAACAATTCTAAGACGTTCATGACTTACAAAATTGTCAGGTTACTACGCTGCTTGATTGCTTCAACTCACACGTGTTTATAAGGTTAAGTATGATGAGAATGTAACTATGTTAGTGATGTAGTATACTATACCTACTTATTAACTCAACTGTGCTTATGCTTATAGTACATATAGTACTGAGCTACTCTAAAATAATACAGGTATATGGTAGTGTTAGTACTTGACTTAACGTGATGTTACTGTTGTTAGTAACTTAACTTAGTAAAAAAAACTTCGCGGGTGGGGGTGGGGAATTTCGGAAGGGGGGGTGTGGTTTTCCCGCATCTTTTTTTTGAATATTCATATTTAGTTTTTTTATTCAATACTTAAAGCTCTTAGCATACATCATGAGAAAAAAAATATAAGATTGAGATCAAAATAATTTTAAGTTTGTAAAACTGGCAGAAGTTATATTAAAGTTACGATAGTTATGTTAAAAAAAAACAAAAAAAAACAAAAAAAAAACAAATTTTAGGAAGATTTTAGATACAATAAAAATGCAAAAAATGTTTATTAAATATTGTTTTATTAAATAAATATAGACATTGTGGTTGCTCTTTATTGACATGTTCTTGTCAAATCTTGTGTAAATTTCAAACGTGATATATATAATTACTGTAAGTACGTTACTGAGATGTAAGCGAAATTTTTGTTTTTTCACTGTGGAAACAGTAAGGAATCAATTCAAATCACAATTTTTTATTCAATACCGTTAATGAATAAAGCTCATCCTTGGAAAATGTGTATAAAAAAATATAAAACATTACAGAAATTTTATGTTAATCTCGAATGATTTATTGAGGCTGTGTAAGTTTTTTATACAAAAAGAAAAATAACACAACATTTCATAGACAATGCAAGACTATCTCGATATCACTGACGAACGGTAAATTTGTAATATAAATATATTACTTGGACCTCATATTGCTACAAAATGAATAAAAACTTCCAGCTTCTTAAAATGCTTAATAATCTTAGTTCATTGTTAAATATAATTCCAAGTTCTTAGCATTATTGATTGGATTTTATGAAACGCAGAGCTTGCTTTAAATTTATCAATAGACCAATCGAAGTTTTTCAACAAGCTTAAGGTCGATTTATCAAGACTAACTACATATAGTTTTGCATTTTGCATTCTATAATTACTAACATCACAGCTGACGAATCATTCCTCCTACGTATTTGCACTTTGATAACAATGTGTTATAATCGCGACATAATGTTTAACACACCTCGATCGATTATCTGTAATCATCGAGTTTAAAAGCGTCATAGCTTAGTTTAAAAAGAAAAAAATAACAAACGACATAAAACAAAATTATTTTCACTATGCTTTCGTCAATCATTATCTGTACAGGAAGAATCATTCATTCAGTTGATAAGTGTAACTTACGATTAATTTTTTTAAACTTTCTCAATGATTCATTTATTCCAAAAATATTCATTTACATCCGAGTTCTCTAATTGTTAAACAAAAAGCGTCAAGGAAACTGAAATAGGCGACGAATTCGCAATTAATCGTTTTGTACAGATGTGCGCCTATTGATCTCGCGCAAAGGAATACAAGTCATCAAACAGTGATCACTCTTTTGTTGTATCACTATTTTTATTTTCTAAGGGGAGGAAAAAAAATTTAAAAAAGGGGTTACCCAACCTGCGGTTATAAAATACATACAATATAAATTCGACGAAGATTTATTTCAAAAATATGTTCATATTCATCTAGCTAATCGGTAAAAAAAGTGTAACGAGGGCAGTGTACAAGTATTTTATAAGCATCATTTATTCTTAAATACGTTGGCATTTATAAATCAATTCAGTTTTTTTTTCTATTTATGGTTTAACCCCTATTTTTGTATAAACAAAATCACATTATAAATATTTATATAATCTCAGCGACATTCGATCATTTCGGTTCCCCCTCTGCTTTGCTTCGTATTTCATTCCCCCGATTAAGCTTGAATCTCCATGATTATGAGAACGTAGCTTAATAGAGAGATAATAAAACGCGCATAATTTTTATTTTGCCTAAAAAAATTACTCGAGAAGATGTAGGCGACAATGTTACACTCTCCATCATCTCTGTCGTCTTGAACGACTGGAACGTCGTGGAGTTGACGAACCCGCGCCTATGCTAAACATATTTGGAGCTGGTGCGTTAAAAGCCGGAGGTGCCGTTGACCCGCTAAAATTGATACTAGGCGCTCCAGTGGGTGCGTTAAAGCTAAAACCGGCTGAAACAGAAAATATACACGTTTTGGGTATCTATATGCCATTGAGTAGAAGAAACGCGGCTTTAATACAGAGATGAAAAAATTATTTTTAAAGGTTTAATAAATATAACGCATATGTTCAAACTAACCCGGCTTGACTTCATTGGCTCCGCCAAATTGAAACATTCCTCCGTTGCCGGCAGTGCTGGCATTGCTAGTACTGCCAAAGGTAAAAGCAGTGCCAGGCTGCTGTTGCTGTTGTTGCTGCTGAGTAGCCTGAGCACCACCAAACGAGAACGTGGCACTATTTGCAGGACTCGTGGTCTGAGTGTTGCCAAAAAGTGAGGGTGCTTGTGTGGAGGTTGAAGCTCCGCCAAAAGGCGAAGTCGTTGCGTTCGGAGTGCCAAAAGCTGACGAACCAGAGCCAAAAGTTGACGTACTCGAACCAAAAGTGCTGGTTTGAGTCGTTGCACTTGAACCAAATATATTTGCTGGAGCTGATGCACCAGACCCAAAAGTACTGCTTGAAGCTGTTGGACCGAAGGTACTGTTGGAAGATGCAATGCCAAAGGTACTACTTGGTGTATTTGATCCAAAAGCTGGTTGAGTTATTGTACTTGGTGAACCAAAGACCGACCCAGTGTTGGTGCTTGTCGAGCCGAAAATAGAACCGCCAGAAGTAGTTGATGGAACACCAAACGTGGTCATTGGTTTTCCAAAAGTAGACAGATTGTTTGACGTCTGAAAAGCTGACGTGGGAGAACTAGCAGAGCTGGGATTGTTCAATGAAGGTGAGGAAAAGCCAGATGATTGGTTATTTGTACCAAAGGTCGAGGTAGCTCCACTAAAGGGCTTAGACTGTCCAAAGATGTTTGTGTTCTCAGCTAATCCTGTGCTAGATCCCTGGAAATATTAATTAAAAACAATATTCGTCATTTTAAAATGCCATTTTAACAGGATTAAGAAATGATAATTTCTTACCGGATTTTTAGCAGCTGAATTGGTACCACTGAAAAGTGAGGCCGATGGAGTGGACGTTCCGAATATCGAAGAAGACATTGTTGTTGTGGGTTTTATGCCTGAGAATATACTGCTCTGTTGTGATGACTGTGTAGCTGGAACGCCGAATGGTGAGTTCGTAGGTGCCGTTGATATCGTTGTCGAAGCAGTATTTCCAAACAGGCTTGGAATCGTATTAACTGGCGCATTATTGCCGAATAAACTTGGCGTTGTTGTCGTTGGTGCTATTGAAGTCTGCGTTGTTCCAAAAACTGAGGGTGAATTGCTAAATATTGATGGAGCAGAGGTCGTTGGTGCTACGGTATTGGCAGGACTTTTAAACATTGGCGAAGATCCCATTGCAGATGCTCCACTAAATATGCTCGGAGAGTTGGTTGATGTATTGAAAGGCGACGGTGCCGAATTAAAAGCTGGTGCAGGTGCTATAAACACATAGTAATAAGTATAACTAACAAAATTCGTGGATGAATTTATCATGCTTATATCTTCGTGGTTACAATATATTACCAGTAGATGTGCTACTAGGCGCTGAAGGCAACGCGAATGTGCTCGCTGAGCTAGCGGAGGTTGCATTATTCTGCAAACCGGTTGCAAAGTTAAACGTTGATGACGAAACAATAGGAGTCGAGGTAGATGTTGTAGTTGTATTAAATGAAAAACCACCCGTAGCAGGCTTATTATTAGTATTGAAACTAAAGGTGGATGCTGCAGTGGTGGTTGCAGTAGCTGAAGTTGAAACTGGAATTGTATTGCTGTTTGATGCGTTGTTCATCGAAAAAGGTGAATTTGTAGATGAAGCGGTAAATATCGAGCTAGGAGTACTAATAAGGTTTGTCGATGAAGATGTGGTTGTTGCTGAAAATATTTCATCACATATGATTCATAAACAATAAATCAAAATGTATAAACAATTTTTATATGCCATATTAAATATTAAAACTTACGTGTAATAGAGGTGCTTGAAGGACTCTTTGAAAGTGTGTTTCCAAAACCTAACACTGGAGTACTGGTACTGGAAGTTAAGTTCGTGCTTTTTGCACTTGTCAGAGAAGCGTTAGAGTTTATAGAAAATGTCGATGCTGTCAAAGAAGTTGTACTAGAACTGAAAGAGAATGACGGTACGGAAGTAGTATGTGAAGTAAAAGAAAACGAAGGCATCGATGGTGACGGAGTAAAAGAATCTGATGATGTCGGAGACGTCGTTTTTGCCACTGTTGTAGTACCAAAAGAGAATCCAGACGTAACGGCACTGCTACTCGCACTTGGAGCGGTTTTAACTGTAGATGTTGTGGAAAACAGCGTGCTCGTACTATTACTAGCTGGACTTTTTGTTTCAGTTGCACTGGTACTTGGCGCCGTCGTGCTTACACTGCTATTTGCAGAAAATGAAAAGCCACCTGTGCTAGCTGGATTTAAGGAAGAGCTCGTGGCCGTTGAAGAGGTAACTGGCTTGTTACCAAAATTGAATGATGCACCAGAAGTCGAGGTTGCGATTGATTCTGTCGAGCTTGATGATACAACAGTTTTCAACTCGGTCGACTTTGGAGCTTCTGGGGTTGAAACTGCTAATAAACTGCTGCTACTGCTACTTAATGATGATAAAGATGCGGGTATATTGAAGGTAACGTGCTTAGAAGCGGGTCCAGACTTGCTAGTGGCATCAATTTTTAAAATCGGCACTATGGTTGTCGTTATGGGTGACGTATTGACGGTTGTCGTCGTTGTTAAGGAATTTAAAGTAGCAAAAGAAGCCGTTATAGTTGGCTTCGTATTTACTTCCTCTGCCTGTATAACTACATCTGGATCAATTTTACTGGCATCTGTAAAATAAAATATATTATCAAATTTTTCTTACGACCGATAGTTTAGTATGCTATTTGTTTTAAATAGTCACTCACAGTTTCCTGATATTGCATCAAACATGCTTTTGAGTCTTTGGCGCATGCTGTTCTGTTTCATGTTATCAATATCTTGCTTCTTAATTTCATTCTTATTATTAGTTTTGAACTGAGCTTCAACCTTTCCTTGCTCTTTAATCAAGGATTTTAATTTTTCATCTGCAGTAGGCTCGGGTTTCATAAACAATTTGTCCGCAAATGTTTCATCTTTAGGAAGAACAGTTTCTTTAACAATTTTGGGAGAAGATACATTTAATGTGGTTGCTGGTGACGGCTGCTGCCGTTGCGGCACATCATTGTCTGGCTGTGAAGTTTCTGACAAATTCTGATGAATTCGATTCTGATGAGGCTCGCCAGAAGCATTTTCAATCGACACTCTTACATTCAACTGTTCCCTGGATCTTGCGAGTTCTTTTGCAGTCAATAATGTTAAAGATGAGCTTCTTGTAGGAGATGTCGATGTATTCGATGGTTTAAAATGTTTTTCATTAACTGGCGAGCTGCAACGAGATGAGTCCACTGGAAATAAAATTGAATCATTAGCTAAATAAATTGCTAAAATTATGAGGCATCTGTAATAACACTGTGAAAATACTTACTGGCTTTTCTTTTAGTACCGGCAAAGACATTGTTACTAGAGCTAAGTGAGTGTAAAACATCATGACAAGAGAGCGATTTTTGCTTCTTTGATGGCCTTTGATTATTTGACTGTGGGGATGGTTCACCATCGGATGTTGACTCATCTCTCGCTCTTTTCTGCATTATTTCTTCAAGATTCTCCAACTGATCTTCATACTCTTGATCTGACTTTTGCTTTTTGGCTAAATCTAACATTATGTCATCCCTAGAAGCTTGTCTTTTAACAGCCATCTTCTTCAAAACCTGAACAACATTTGGGCAAGACCTTGATTCTCTGACATCCATTGATTCGTATGTTTTGGATTTTTCTTGCTGACTGGAATTGTCAGATGATACATAGTTACTTATTTCTGGCGGTGCAACTCTGACTGTAACTGGCATTCTAGATTTCACGGCTGTTGGACTCAATACTGGTATAGGACTGGCATTAAGAATCACCTTAGGAAACTGACCTGCACCATACTGAGATTGATGTATTAAACTACTGTTAGCTTGAGCAGCATATCTTGTCAATCGTGATGAAAGTCCAGGAGAATTAATATCTGTGTACAACCTTGAAAGTAAAACATCAAAGCATTATTGGCAATTTTTGTTTTTTATGACAAATATGTTTTTTTTTCAAACTGTAGTTATGTGATAAATTACTGAAAAGAAACTTACTTTGGATCAATGTTGTATCGAGATGAGTTTAAAAGAGGTCCAGCTACACTTTGTACTGTCCTAATGCTTTCTGACATGTCTTTACTTTTGGGACTCATGCTGTAATTCCAAGATGAATTTTTCGAACTGTATAGGATATCTTCGGTTTGGGACAAGTCGAGAGTTGGTTTATTTTCAGTTTTTGATGAAGAAACATTCTTAATTAAAGTATTATTCGTTGGAGTGAACACGTTTACACCTCCATTTTGCATTTCATTTTTTTTAAAGTTGGATCCTCTGGGTATTGGAGTTGAAGTTTTGCCTATATTAGCAATACCATTCAAAGCAAAAGAATGATACAGTTCACTGTTTCTTGGGTTCAAATTGTCAGTTGAATTTGGGTTCTGAAAAAAAAAAATAATAAAATAAAATAATAATGATAAAATAACAAGTTTCACTTAAGAGTTAACACTATTGTAAATATTGGACAAGAAACATGAGTTGTTTGTATTTTACACAACACAGGAAAATTTAAATACTTAATGACGGTTGCTTGTGTTGTCCTGTAAAACATAGATCAGTCCATAGGCACCACTTTTTAATTATAGGAAGAAAAAAAAATGTGTCAGGCAATAACAAATAATATTTTGTAGCTTATAATATTAAACTTTTTTCAAAGGTTTAGAAATATGAAGTTTCACAATATGTAGCAATTATAGGTAATACCTATACGTTTCAACTGAAGTGATCAGGTTTACTAACTACAACACAGCAATTCCTAGTAAGCAAACGTAGACAAAGCAACTTACAAGCTTTACTTGCTTATATTGAAATAAAAATGGGAAAGTAAACATACACACAAACAGAAAAAGAGAGAAAAGCAAGAGGGAGAACAAGAAAGCTAATCCTTCTTACCACAAGTACGCTGGGCCTGTACAAATTTCTCTTGGCATCGCTCATAATGTTATTCTCAGCTGGATCGATTTGACTTTTGAATTTCTCTTCGTACTGCTTCCTTAAATATCCCAACAACACTCTCGACTTATGCAGTCCGTCTTGAAGCAGCGCCTGCAGGGTCTGGGACAGCTCAAGCGCCAAGCTCTTTGCGTGTCCGAGCAAGACAAGCGAGTAAGGCGTGAAGACGCTATCGTTGACGTGGAGAGAGTAGCACAAATGCAAGATGACGGCGAGGGAACAGGTGACGAGCAATAAAGGACCCCAGGCCTTGTAGATGAGCAGACAGAAGCTGATGAAAGCTAGGAGACGGTATATCCCTTTGGCGTTGCTGCCACTACTCTGTCTTTGGTTGTTGGTGGCTTGATTACTATTGATGTCCCCCGATTCCCACATTATCCAGCGGACCATCGACGAGAGCGAGCTATTTGCGCTGCTCCCTCGCAACGGCCGTTACCTCGTGCGCCCCTTCAATGGTTAAAGGAAGGCATGTGTACCTAGCTCTCTGACCCTGCAATGCCAAAGGAGGTGCTGCTTCTGCCGCTTGAATGGAATACCTTTTGAGATAAATTAAATAATTTCTCGATTGATGGTGTCATAAAAAAAGGTGCCAACAAGTATGTAGTATGTACTTACGTTCTTATATGCCACACAGTGCTTTTGCGTTCCCGTATTTCCTATACAATATATAGGTATACGTGATTTCTGTGCAGCACACGCGTCTCTCGTTATCACGTTACGGCGGATAACTTTTCTTCATTCGTACATACTTGAGGTACAAGTATGAGGAATGTGAATGTGAGACACTTGGGTTGATCGAAAAACCTTGAACTTTAACCAGCAGCTTTTACCTTTAATTTCGTTTCTTTTCGAAAGCTGGACGTCAGTTCTGCAGATGCATAAAAGAATCTCAAGAGCAGACGACAGGAGACACTTTGGATCGTGGCCTTGGCTTCGTATATTTTTCTCTTTACACTTGCAGCTTGTTTTTTACATGACACTCCAGTTTAAGAAAGTTAACAAGCAACACGTTCATGTGGTCGCCTCGTCATCGAATCATGATCGGATCGGTTTATGAAGATGAAAATGAGACTTTTATGGAAGATGCATGATGATGCATCACGATGACGAGCGCGCGAACCGCGGAAATGCAGAAATATCCAGTTAACGATTGTCGATAGAATGTCATTCGGCAAAGAATCGATACATATCAAGGGTCGAGTATCGATGGATCGATCGTGTGTTGTTTTGGAGTTTGGCGCGAATATTTGAAATGTCCTTTTATTACTCGCGCGGTCTCGAGACGATTAAATTAGGTATATTTGTTTATTTTATACTCTCTTTATTCAGATCGCAACACAATACATTACAATTTTAGTCCTACATCGAATGAGATTAATTAATCCTACGTAAGATAGGAGAACTACGTATAGTACAACCTCGAACAAGTTGTTTGAAAGTTCGTTTGATCAACAATTTTGTTAAATTTCGTGATATTTTTTTTTTGGTTTCCAAGATATTCTGGGAGATCTAAAAAAGTTATTGTATGTTACTGAAAGAAATTTTCAAACGAAGCAAACGTTTGAAAAAAAAAAAAAAAAAAAAAAAAAAATTCTATGACAAATTTTAGAAAAAAAAGAACTGTGCTTATACAATAAAAAATTACAAAAACAGCATCACAGTGAAATACAGATAAGTACCAGCGTTATCTTTATAAGTACACCTTCATTAAAATTCTTTATACTTTTCAATATTTATTCAGTGCTGAAAGCCATACGTCACACGCTGTTGAATTTATAGTAAGTAGGTAAATATTTTGTTGTATAAAACGTTCAACAATGTACCCTAAGTATGTATATTTATAGATTTTTAGTCTTTTTTTTCAATACCATTCAGATGGCGCTTTGAAAGAATAAAAAAAGTTTCCGAGTTTCGTAAAAAATTAAACAGTGCAACTCGTGCGCGTCGTGCGACAGTAGAGAGAAAGATATTAAAGTAGAAAAAAGACACAAGTACTTAGGTTTTGTGTTAATGTATTGTCATACCTACGAAACTAAACTGTCATTTGCATCGCATTAAGTCGCGATTAGTGTACACACATATCTACAGACAATCATTTAGGTTTATAGCTTTGATAGCAAGTATAGCGAAGCAAACAGCATATTTATATACCGTATGGCTCCTGTTCTGTCGTCGGGAATCAACAAGTGTTGAGTTGTGTCAGCATCAACAGCAGATAGCTGGTCTACCGTCTATGCAGGACATGGACATTGTGTATTTACGCGCCGATCATGATGGCGAATACATGACGAAACCTGTATTATTGTTAATTATTTAAATGTGCGACGCTCGTGTTTACATCCGTATTTTTAGTAGCGGTCCAATAAGAAAATGACGCAACGCTCGCACTGTTTTGGCCCATCGTTACGTTCGTTACTGTGTATTTATTGTTATGGTGCTGTTGTTACTCTTCACGAGCCAGACAGACATTTGTTGTCATGTTTAAGTAGTCTACGATAAACTGTAAAGGGGGTCGATGTACTCACGCACTGCGTGCTTCAGTGTATCTTGAAGGTTTTGGTGTCACCAGTCACCATAGAACTAATGTATAAACACACAGAGCAAAGATGAACAAATTTTTGTACCATGCTCTATTTTCATTCATCTGTTGTACCCTTGGTGGGCAGCGGACAAAAGCTACAGAGGTACTGATGTTGAATATTTTACTTTTTAACAAAAACTCCTTTTTCCACAACTGCTAACTAACAAGATCGTTTGTTTCAATAGAACCCCGACACGGGCTTAATACCTGATCGGGATGATTCTTTGCTTATGTTCTCTACTCTGGATGGTTCGCTGTTTGCTGTGGAAGCACAAACTGGAACCATCAGGTGGCAACAAAACGACGGTATTATCATGTTGAGCCATAAACATTTGAATGTACTTTTCGTTTTGCTAAGTAAATTTTTATTTTTAATTCCAGAACCAGCTGTTAAAGTTCCTCGGGATGTATCCAAAACTACCATGTAAATGCATACCATGAGAATATTACTGATTTTCCGTTTACTTGACATCTACACGGCAATAAAATTTTCATGCATTGATTTCAGGCCCATATTTTTACCAGATCCCAAAGATGGATCTCTCTACTTGTATGGACCCGAGACCGAAGCATTGAAAAAGCTGCCTTTTACAATACCGCAACTCGTAGCTACCAGCCCTTGTCGGAGTAGCGATGGAATTTTGTATACAGGACGTAAAATTGACACCTGGTTCAATGTAGATACGCAAACTGGAGAGAGAGAACAGATCCTTGGATTTTCTAAAGTAGAAAACACATGTCCTATTGATTCTATAAACGCCATATTTGTTGGCAGAACTGAGTATAACATTATAATGATAGACAGTAAACACAAGGACAGAAAGTGGAACCTAACATTTTATGATTATTCAGCTGATAAAATGAGTGATGATGAGTATAACGATTTCATCCACTTGACTGGTGCTTCGTCGGGTAAAGTAATGACAATAGATAGATTAGGTAACATTTTGTGGAATATCAATTTGAATAGTCCAGTGATAGCAGTTTACACAATTGGTAACAGTGGTCTGATATCGGTACCATTCAACAGTGTTGCTGATAGTACCTTGAACGACTTGATGAAAAAAATTTCATTAAAACCTAGCGAATTTAAATTCTTGTAGGTTTTTTTTTTTCATGTATTGAAATATTTAATCTCAAAATAGTTTTAGAAAAGCTCGGTAACATTATTTTCTAGTCCCACTTTGTACATTGGAGAACACAGCCATGGCTTGTATGCTTTGCCATCTTTGGCAGATTACTCAACACCAACTATTAGTAGTAAGGCAGGGCAATTGTTGTTGGATGGACCTATCATTTCTCATCTACAAAAAGAAAGTTCAGCACCACCTTTGTTCGATAGTAGTTCTGAAAACATTCCAAATGATTGTCAACAAATTGATTCCAATAATAATAATATCATGGTTATAGGTGAGTATGAAAAAAAAAAAAAAAAAAAATTAAGACCAAGAAAAAAAAACGAAGGTAACAAAATCAACATTTTTGTCGATATCTGTAGGGCATTATGAAATTCCATCCGAGTATAAACCTCACAACCAGCCGCTACAAATTACTGGTCACTCTGATCCGGTTATAATTCCAAAACAGGAAACTTTGAATATTACTAAAAAACAGGAAATTGTCATCAATGACAAACAGTTAAATCAAACGATTCACGAAGGTAGTATTTGGCGTAGGTATACTATGAAGTCTTACAAGATAGGCAGAGAATGGTTTCATAAACAAGATGGAGTTACCAAAATGTCTCTCATAATTGCGATTGGATTAGTCATGGTAGCCATCACTTATTACAATGCTGGAAAAAATGCTAAGCGAGACGCTCAGGTGATTTTTAAATTATTTTTTTCCCGTATTTGAAAAGTTATAGTTTTATAATTAATCACAATTCTAAAGAGTATGTTTTTTTTTTAACATAGATGTTGTATAATTCGAGAGAAAACAGTCGCTCCAGTAGTAACGGCAGATCTAATGTTGTATATGCAGCTGAAGAGATGAATGAAGAAGGTTGGCAGCGTATTGGTAAAATTACTTTCAACACCGAGGAGGTACTGGGAAAGGGCTGTGAAGGAACTTCTGTCTTCAAGTAAAAGAAAAAAAACTTTCAAGTGAATGCTTATTCAACTGTATTGTGTTTCTACAGTTAAAACTTTTTTTTTTTCTTCTAGGGGTGAATTTGACGGCAGACAGGTAGCAGTTAAGCGTCTCCTTCCGGAATGCTTTACCTTCGCGGACAGAGAAGTGGCACTTTTGCGTGAATCAGATGCACACGCAAACGTCGTTCGGTACTTTTGTACCGAGCAGGACAGGCTGTTCCGCTACATAGCTCTCGAACTGGCCGCGGCTACCTTGCAAGACTATGTAGCTGGTAGATGCGATCGAAGCAAAATATCTGCAAAAAAGATCTTGCAACAATCGACTTGTGGCGTGGCTCATCTACATTCCTTGGATATAGTGCACAGAGACATAAAGCCCCACAATGTGCTACTCTCGATGCCTGGACCACACGGTGAGGTGCGCGCGATGATCTCGGACTTTGGTATGTGCAAAAAACTTCAGGTCGGTCGCACATCCTTCTCGCGACGTTCTGGAGTCATGGGCACTGATGGCTGGATCGCTCCTGAAATGCTACAGAATGACGAAAGGACGACTTGCGCTGTCGATATTTTCTCCCTTGGATGTGTCTTTTATTACGTCCTCTCCCGTGGAAAGCATCCATTTGGTGATCCCCTCAAACGACAGGCTAATATTTCCTGTGAGTTGAAAATTTTGTGTTCATTAATTTAATATTTATCTTTGTGCAAGTATATCAGTCACGAACGCTTAAACTTAATTTTTTTTTTTTAAGAATATTTTTGAAACTCTTTCGTTATCAGGCTATTACCACTATCATAAAAATAATCTTATCTCCAGTGTTGGGAAGAATGTACGTTTTCTTGGTTCTTTGGCTTTTTTTGTTTCAAAATGAGTTAGCGTGAAAATTAATTATTACTTAGAAAAACGTGGCACAATGCTATTAAAGCTTAAAATTTTTATATAATAAAAGTTTGTTTTTTCCAGGTTAAAATACTTGCATACGTCATTAAAACTTATCGTTTTTAGATCAAGTGTCTAAAATGAAAATGAACTTCATAAATTGTTGTTGAATTATTTTTAGGCGGAACTTTCCCAGACTTGTCGAACTTGCAGAGTATTTCACAAAATGATAAAGAAATAGCTCTAGTTTTGATAAAAGCCATGATTTCTCTCGATCCAAAAAGCCGTCCGTCAGCCCAGGCTGTGCTCAATCATCCCATATTCTGGGACGCCGCGCAAATCCTCACATTCTTTCAGGTTCATGATTTATAACGTTTCGTATTTCGCACACGGTTAAGTGTGTTACGTGACAGAAGAGTTATAATTTTAATTATTTTTTACGAATGTAGGATGTCAGCGATCGCGTCGAAAAAGATGGACCAGAAAGTCCTGCATTGCAAGCACTTGAAAATGGCAATTACACGATTGTTAACGTCGATTGGAGGCGTCACATAGATTTCGAAGTGGCGAGCGATCTTCGTAAATACAGAAGTTATCGAGGAGAGAGCGTTAGAGATTTACTCCGCGCGTTGCGAAACAAGGTAAACTTTTATTCAACGGTACTTTAGATTGTTACAGAATTGTTGAAGCAAATTTTTTAACATTTTACAGAAACATCACTACCGAGAGTTGACCGAGGCAGCCCAACGTAGTTTAGGTGAAATACCAACAGCATTCACGGAGTATTGGTTGTCGCGCTTTCCGTTGCTTCTGATCCACTCCTGGTGTGCGATGCAAAAATTTCGCTCCGAGCCGACCCTTAGAGGCTATTATGATGAACAATATGAATTCAAATTAGACGTTCCTGAAATTTTGGAGGAAGAAGAATATACAGAAACGGTGCAACAAAATGAGGATGTGACGTCGTTTTCGCAACCACAGCAGCAGCAACTGCAGCAGCAGCAAGCAGAGGAAAAACCGCGTAAAGGTCCCGAAGGTAATACAATAAATTGGAGTCCAAATCGTTCTAAATATAAGTTAGCGAGGAAAAAAAAATTTTATCCCAGTGAGCAGAAAAGGAAAAATTTTGACGAGCCGGAAAAAAAGACCGCTGAAATTTCTGTCACGTGGAGTCTACCTTCTGCTAGTTAGTTGTTACAGCAGATTTTTTCTTACCTCGTTTAATTTTGTTGTTGTTTGCAACAAAAAGTGTACAGGTTATCCCATGCATACGATTAATGTCGTAGTTTTGGATTTTTTAACGTAACCAATAGCTGATTATTCAACTCCCGATGAAATTATTCGGATAACCAAATGTTTGGTTATTGGATTGATTAGTCAACTATTAGAAACTTATTTATGCAACAAACATATTTTTCACTGAAAGTTTTATATTGAAAACTAGTTTTTGACTAGATCTTTAATTGTATATAGTGTAAAGTTGTCATGTCCTAACAATTTTTGGTCACGTGTGTTTTGATTTTTAATCATACAACGAGTTTACAACGATTTTCGACCAATGATAGTAATAATGGTGGTTTGAAAATTGTCCATAAACAATTTTAGAAAAAGTCATTTTTATTTTACCTAGATGTTCTTGATATTATTTGTTTGATTTTCAAATGGTAAATGATAGTTGATAAAAATCGTGTCAAATACTAAATTTTCTATTTCGCTAATTTTTTTTTTTTTTTTTTACGTTGGATTCTTGCCACTTAGAAAAAAAAGATATTTTTATTACAAACGTAACATCAAAACAACTGAATGAGAAATATTTTATTATTCAGGTGCTACTTTTTAGGTGTATGGTCATTTATCGCGATAAATGTCCTTAGATACATACTTTTTTTTAACATTTGTGATATCTTAGTGTGTAAGTTTTAAATGTTAAAAAATTACATTATTTATATTACTATCTTGCTGATCACTCGGTAAATTTCATTAAATTTTAATTTTAAAGTTTAACAGCTCTCTTTGAGGAGTACAAGAAAATTATACACTTATATGATAATTTAACGAGGTAATGATATGAGGATTCCTTTTTTGTACATACATTAAGTGATTTTTTTCACGTTATCACTTTCATATGCACAAAAATTTTAATTTATATGACGCACTTTTGTGGAGAAAAATTTTGTGTGTTTGTATTTTAAAAATACGTTAGTGATTTTCAAATTTTATACTTTAATAGATGCAGAATAAATAGTTGTTAAAGTTAACTTTGATGTAAAATTCACATTAAAAAATAATAATGATGAAAACATTAGTGTATAAACTGTATCACTGCACTAAATAAATTATTTTGAATACAAAAATTAAGTAAATATTTTTTTTATTGACATGGCATTAAAAATGTAATTATTTTGATTTTTATTACATCTCTTATTACTCTTGAAGGTTTATTCTACATTCGTTATGGTGTACAAAAATAACTTGTATATATTTTCGTTGCTTCAACAGGCTCTAGAAAGGGCACAAATTTTTCCTAAATTCATAGTATTGTTGCGGTTAAAATCAATATAGTATTTGAAAAGCTAATATTTTATACATCTTTATATATAACTAAAAATACAACAGTAGAATATATTTTTATGGTTTAACGAGTTAATTTTTAAATCTTATCATCAAGGCAAACATTTTCATTACTCACCACACGATGTATACAATTTTGTTGATGATTATTTATTGCTCAAACAATTATTCATTAAAAAATTTAGACTAGTTACAAAAACTAAAAATTAACTAATATGAAGATTTGTTATCACATGATTACCGAAGTACAACAAAAAAGTAATTTTGAAAATTATTCTAGTAAAGCCTTAATATCTTGTTATATTCACGTCGAACATTTAATAACTGCATAATTACTTTATAATTAAATATTTTATCATTTAACAGTACAAATATTGTGTTTAAAAGTATACATAAGTACATATATTTATATCGGATATACGTAAATGATAAAATCAAATAAGAAAAAATGCAATCTAAAATATTATCAATTCCGAATATTAAAAAATTATTATTTTACATTTATTTTGAGAAAAAAATTTTATAAAAAAAACATAATTATGACATTTGATAAAAAAAATTTGGCACTGAATCATTAATATTTAAAAAAACGTATCTATTGCTTATTTTTTTGCTACATTTATTCTTATGGAAGTCTATGAAAAAAATCAAATCCGAAATTCGATCGTAACGTTGAAAAAATCAAATGTCAATAGAAAAATGCCACACTAATTCAGTCTTTTAAACACTTGAAATAACTCCATGTTTCATAAAAAATCCAAGTATCCGCGTAAGCTCTTACATCTAGTGTTGAAAACTTTACAGCGCAATATCAATACGTGACACGAAAAAAAAAAACTACTTTATTTTGCACTTGCAAATTTGGTCCAAGCACTACTGACTAGCATTAGCCACGGAAGCAGCAGCGGCGTCGACGTTTTTTAAAATTTTGGCAATGTTGCTGAGCGCGAGTGACATAAAGATATCGTCCGACTTTATGTGCTCGACTTCGTCGAGCGGCGTAGCCCCGTTAAGATTTCTCAGCCGAGCGTTGGCCCCGTGACGCACCAGCATCTCGACTATGCGAACGTTGCCAGCTCGAGCTGCCAGATGCAACGGAGTATCACGAGCGTTGTCTCTAACGTCTGGGTTGCACGAGCCACAGCTCAGCAGCATCTTTGCGGTCTGGACGTGCTCGTGTAGGCAGGCCAGATGTAACGGCGTTCGTCCCTCCGAGCGCGTTACCAGGTTTACTTTGGCTCCAGCGTCCAGTAGCAACTGTAGGTGTTGAGGAAAAAATTTAGATACCAAGGAATCCATTGAGCGAGTGAAATTTAGTTCAAACGATTCCCTGCATCACCTGTATAATCTCGGTGCAGCCGGCTGCACTGGCTATGTGCAAAGCAGTTTCTCCCTGGCTGTTGACGGCATTAATGGCGATCGGTGGCTTTGTTTCCTTCTCGTAAGCTAGTTCCTCGATGGAGACGCACTTGTCGCAGTTGCATAGAGGATGACAAAATTTCGACTCGTCCGGTTCGGAGACGTAAGTCTTGCTGCAGGGACCTTCGAGGCCAAGGTAATACGAAGCCAAGCGGATGTCTCCTTCAGCCACTGCTGCAAACAGCCTGTTGATTTTGTGTATTCCGTCCGTATTGCCTCGATACCTATAGTTTTATTTTATAATGATGACTTTTATAGAATCAAATTTTTTCAGTTGATTGTTCATTAAAAAACACATTTTTTTATCGCTTTATTTTTCATATTATTTTTGAAGCAAGTAGGCAAAACAGACCCAAGTTTGTTAGGTGTCGAAGCCGACGAGCTCGACTGGTCCTCGTTAGCACTCTCAGCACCCACTTCCTTTCTAGTAGTGCCATATCCTGACGAAGTGCCACTACCAGTAGGTGTACTCGTTCTCGAGCTTGAACCCTCGAGCATCCTTATTATGTGACAATTGTGCGCTAAATTCAAAGGTGTTTGTCCCCGTCGGTTCTTGCACCCGGGCTCTGCTCCATACTCCAGCAGTATCTCTACAATGCCTCGATATCCCCATTTAGAAGCAAAATGTAAGGCGGTGTCACCTTGCATATTTGCAGCACTGGCGTAACAACAACAACAACAAGTTATTTGATTATTTAAGTTCCTGCAAGCTCGTTATTTCCTTGAAACTATTTCGTTCCATTAACGATAATTTTTACCTGATGTTGATCGTTAATCTCGTCTGCTCGGCAAAATACAACAAAGCCTTGACACAGGCCTCGTGGCCATTATCCGTAGCCAGATGTAGTGCGCTATTTCCCCGCGAATCCAAAGCATTAATATCTGCATTGGCGTGAAGCAGTAACAACAAAGTGTTTTGATGTCCACGAGCTGCGGCACAGTGAAGAGGAGCAGTGCTTTCAATGTCGACATCATTAGCACTTAATCCGTACTCCAATAGATAATCCACGACAGCTACCTGGCCGTATAAACTGGCTATGTGTAGACAATTACGGCCGCGATTATCTCGCCATTGAGCACTCGTTAAGTCGGTCGATGAATTCAGCAACAGGCTGCGGTCGCAATTTTTACAAGTGCACAGTGGATGGCAAAGTTTGGACTCTTTTGGGACATCTGTTTTTGAATAGGTGATTGACAATTAATTAATTTTTATTTTACGAAAAATAATCGTTTCACGAGAATATACAAACCTTCGGTTTTATCTGACAATATCTTTTGTACCTCAGTCAAATTACCTCTTTTGGCATACTCAAACAATATCTTGACAGATCCATTCAATTCGCCACATTCGTCTGTCGTTACCAGGGGTTTTTCGTCTTTGTGATTGTCACCATTCAATAAGGTGGACACCTCGAGCTGAGGTGAACCAATTCCCAGTGAGCCTGACTTGACGTGCTCAACTGCGGCTTCGAGCGACGTTATGAGAAAACCAGCTTCGTCTGCTTCGTAAGCCGAACTGGCCGAGAATCTAAATTGCTTCATAAAAGCCAGTTGAGCATACCAATTGGCCAACCCTGATTTGACTACTAGATATATCAGCACTGGTAGAAAATCATCGGACGAGACGGACGTTTCGCCCTGCGACACGAATCGAGCGGCTCGCTTCAAGCAACCAATCTTACCCAACACCGTGAAATGCCCATCTAATCTTGATAATTCTAAATAGAAAAAAAAAAATTATCATTTGTAATCGAGTAGTTTTTGTTTTGTAATAATTAACGCCGTACCTAATTTTCCTCTCGAAACGCCATCGTAGAGATCAGGTCGCACGCCGAAATCGTGCAACTGCAGGTCGTGCAGATTTTTTATTATTTTGTTAAGATGTGCATCCTCGATTGCAGTACTGGTCGATACCGCGAGTGGCAATATTCTCCTTAATCCATGAAGTACGTATGTTTCAGTGGTGAGTCTTATCGTCTGCAAAAGATAGCGGCTCTCGACCGTTCGGTCTCGCAACCTTGTATCCTTCAGCAAAGTTCGTAAGCTTTTGGCATAGAGCATGCCAACGAGATCGCGCTGCATCTGTAGGCATTCGTTGTCCAAATTCTTTTGGGCTTTTTCAAACTCGTCTATTGACGCGTCCAGTTCTTTTAAAATGCTCTTGTCTTGCACTTCGCTCCACAACAAATCCACGCATTCCTTGAGCGATGTGACAACCGGTACCTCATCTGCCGATTCGTTTGTCGCTTGTTCCAAGAGTCCCTCGATGCACCTGAAAAAAAAAAAAAAAAAAAATCAATGTTCCATGTCTACTTTGGCACAAGTAAACTCTGAGTAGAATTTTGAAGACGCAACCCACTAACCATACGCAATATTTGTGAAGATCGTCGGTGTAAAATGTTTCTTCGAATAACAATTGCACAGATCGCCATTTCCCTACATTATCATCGATCATCAAGGATCTGTCATTTAATCGCACCTCACGATCCGTCAGTGTATGAAAATGGGTGCCTATAAACGCAAACGTTGTCATGAATAGATTGTTGTACGCGCATTATGTTGGTAAATAATTGTCATTGTGGACCTACCAGGCACCTCATCATCGGGAATGAGAATGTGACCAAGAAAATCCTCCTCGGTCAGTGCAGCCTTGGCGAAGGTACTACAGCGCGGGACACAAATGACCCAGCCTTCTCTAATTGCTCTTTGATAGATTGGCTGGTATTCCTGCTGCAGTTGTTGGAAGAAAGCACTTTGCGACAAGTCCTCGTCGTAGCTGTAAGTATCCATGACGAGGTCGAGCCATGTATTTGGCTCTACTTTGACTTCATGATTTTGATTTCTAAGCAGTAAAAAAGCAAGCCCTCGATCAGCAAGAACAATGAAAAAAAAACAAAACAAAAAGATGACACCAAAGAGTTATTCCTTACGCAAGGCCATTAATCCAGGGATGAAATCTCAGTCCGAGTCTGCAGCGCCTGTAGGTTGCTCGCAGACGCGATGCAGGTGTAACTTTTCTGCGCGAAAACGGGTTGAAGGGCCCTGGACGTGGACCCAGGAGGCAAGCAAAGAAAGACGACGCATCACGACACATGGGGCGAAAACGCAGCTGTGCTCCGTTTATTAGCAGCAAAGCAGGAACAACAACAACACCAGCTACACTCTCGAACGAACTGCCTTGGCTTCATTCTTGCGGCCTCTTTCTCGACGGGATTAATTTCTTTTTTTTCTTATTATTATTATTATTATGCTTATTTTCGTCTCTTGTTATCACACACTGCTTGAGTATTTGAGAGAGCGTGTAATCGCCGGATTCACACACACCAGCAATTATAATAAGCCCCGCGAACCGCGAAAGATAGGAAATTCTATAACCTATACAATGAACTGCACGTATGGGTGTGCGCATATATACGTATACAGAACGTCAACGAGACGACAAATCAAAACAGACAGACGACGCAGCTCCGAAAAGACCATATATACATATATATTATATGCTGTCAAGAGTATAAGGGTTTCGGAGCGGGGGGGAGTTTAAATTGTTACAATCGCATGATTGTTTTTTTTTTTTCACCCATCACTTTGTTGAATAATCGCGCAAATTATGTCGCGTCAGCTTATTTGTATGCGCGTATAGTCGATAATTATTATGGTTTTTACATAACACGGGAGCATAGGATGATGAGTCGATAGAAGGTCGGCGGCGTTATTACGTTGAGCTTAACTGATGTTAATTTTATTTAAAAATCATTTCAAAGGCTACGTATACGTACAACAGTAATTTCGTCCAGTACTCAAATAAATCAGATGGTTTAAAAATCCCACGGTGATGTACCGAGTAAAATTACGATCAAACCGGAGTTGTTGGTGATTTTTACCGATTTTTTTTTTTTTTTTTCCTTTCAATTGTAATATTGCGCGTAAACCCGTCTATATCGGTTCATCATCCCAGTAAGACTTTAATTCTACGAAAAACAAATTCACTCGTGCGTAAGTAAGTGTATAGTATTCGCGCGAATCCCTATGAGGTTTCGCCGATACGTTATATATATATATAAAAGAAAAGGCTTGGGGAAGAATTCGATACTATATGCATTATATGATACTACTGTCGCATCGGCGGTCAGTCAACCCTTGGAGTAACGTCATCGTATCTCGGAATATTCATCAATAATTTATTACAAAACAGCATAGTTTTTTAATTTACTAAAATTCGTTTTTTCTCGGACAGATATCGTTATCCGGTTTTTTTATAATCCACCCGAAATCTTGGAATTTTCAATAATTACGGATATACGTCTGTCACGTGCATCGGTTTATGAACATGCTGCGTGATTTTCACTCGATTGAAGCTATTTTTGTCAATCCAACCGACTTAAGACCACCAACGGAAAACAAACCGATCGTTACCGTCACGACCAAAATACAAACTGTAGAAAAAAGCGGTACATTTTCGCACAACTGGTTCACACATTTACTTTTTTTTTTAAGTGAGCCAAAGAAAAAAAAGAAAAAAGAAAAGATCGGCACGTCTGTCCTCCGTGAGGCTCGAAACGCGACTGAATCGAAAGAACCTCCCGCGAAATACATATACAGAAGAAGCATGTGGTATACACTTACCCTTTAGATGACGCCGAGACTGCAGTGTGGGGTGAAAATCGGCGGCTCGGTTTTTTTTTTTTGTCTCCCATCACACGGTATACACGCCGGAGACAAAGGGACGGACCCGAGAGAGAACGAGGTGGGGTGCACTCGAAAGTGTCCCTCGCTCGAGGAGGTGGAGGCGCAGACGAGACGGGGTTATCGACTCGCGACCCGCGTATATACTCCCGGAGAAAAGCGAGACGCTATAGCTTCGTGTGCACCTGCACACGCTCCCGTCGTCCCGGGAGAATGAAAGGAAGAGCCACAAACATCAGGGAGTTCAACGACAGCGACGACGCGCTAATGAGGGGGCTTCGAGTGGGTGGCTGTCTGTGTTACCCATTTTTTTTTTTTTTTTTTTTTTTTCTTCTTTATTTCAAACACTCGCGAAAAAGTCAGCCGCGCGTGTCTCGTTTCTTGCCTCCCTTGTGCATGCACTCTGGCGCTTTATCGCGATCGAGCTGCACGAGTCTGCAACCACCTCGGCGACTCTTCGGACAGTTGACAACGTAACTATTCCTGCGATGGATATGCCGGTAATGGACGAAAAAAAAAAAAGTTGCTGCTGACTCCGTACAGAGCTTTTTTTTTTTTTTCATTCCCAGCCAGCGTTACCACGAGCTTTTTACGTGACGCGCGTCTGTCTCCCACTCCCGGGAGATATTTTTCCCGTTCGCGGTGGAAAAGCTGTAAAACTATATACTGTGCTTGTGCCGGTCGACCTTATTCAACATCAGCCTGTGATTTAAATACCATTTAGCACCGTACGGATCACGATTTTTTTTCCCCCCTTCCTACATAAGATCGGTTGGCCGATACATCCGATTGTTAGGTTATAAACTGCAACACAATACATTGACAATTTAATGCTTAAATACTTGTTTATTGTTATTATTGTTTTTCTATTCTTTCTTTTGTTCATCACATATATTATAAATGTATTTGTGTGTGTTTCACAGGATAAAAAAATAAAACTTTCGACCTTTCGTTAACGGAGTCTTACTAAAAATCTTTACAAGTTTTGTCGATGTACTTAGGAGGTAGCTGTTCTACGTGCAATGTGTCAAAAATCTTTCGTTTGAATATTCTAAAAATCACGTAATAATGCGTTGCAATAACGCGGCGACACAACGCAAATTATGGATACAAAGGATTTTTAACTATTACAACGAAGGTGCGATAGTACGATGATCGTCTTGCAAACGATTCGTTTGCTTAACGTTACAATTTTTCAATTATCGAACAAACAATTAATTAAAAAAATACCCGTAGAAATTGAGATTTAGTAATTTCGCAATTTTACGCAATCTCGTCTATATATTACAGGTATAGATTTTTCTAGATTTCCTCGTCAGTTTCATTCTTTCATCTTAATTGACATGGAAATTTTTTTTACATTCATCTAAATTTTGCGCGACTGAAAGTATGTACACTAAAAACTTTTGATCCGGCCAAAGCCTCGGAGACATGAATAACTTGAAATAATATAATAAAAATAATAAT